GTAAATAGATAACCAAATAGTGCGTTGATAGTATGTTTTCCCAGGTATATTATTGCTCCAGGCTAAACATGTACTCCTTTCTATCAAGGCTTTTATCACATGGAACTCTTCATAAATAAATTAAGTTAACAGGCTTCTTTTATTCAATTGTGGTTGTTTTTGACCAGCAAAACAAACATTATTGATAATTTACATGGAGTAGAGTCTTCAGGGCACAGTTTGCATGATCTATTGCCGCTTGATTATTAGTGGTCAACACATTTCACTGGTTGATTAGAGTTACCAACCTTGCCTCGGGCCTCATTTTTTTCCATTTTGAGATCATAATGATGATGCGAGGTCATCGACATGGTGTCTATTAGCAGCACGTTAAATATGTAGCCATGGGTTAATACTTCTATTCACTTAACTGTTTCATGTCGAGAGATGATTTGTTTATTCCAAATGAATAATTCATATACATATTTCTTAAAATGTTTCTTAATATAGTTCAGTGTCGGATCAACGTTTAAACCATGCCTGTAGTCAATATGGTTCCTAAATATTATGGGAAATGAAGAGAATTGACTGTCTAACAATTGCTTCTGAACTGCTAGAGAGCAACGATGGATGAGTACCCATTGCGCCGGCTCATCAAGCAGGTTACTCCTGATACTGTAGTGGTGCAGGACGCGGAACCGCGGACTGTGAGCAGTGAAAAACATACAGTTAGTCAGACGGGACGAAACACGGGGGTCTACAGAACCCTTTGGCAGATGGAATTCAATAAAATTAATCTCATAGTTTACTGCATCGCACATGCTCCCTTTATTATTACGTTCTGTTGTATTTCTTATTGGTGAAAATTGATCTATGAAATTAAGAAATTTCAAGATTAAAGTCTACAATCAACTATTCATTCCGTCTAGTTCTGAACATTATGGCTTCTTATGTTCATAAGGGGTTGGGTGGTCTAGTGGTTAAACGCGTGCGCGAGAAACTATAAGGTCTGTCATTGAGTCATTTGGCGTGGTTTCGTTTCCCAGATATGACAAGGAGTAGGGTCGCCTGTCCAACCTCGATGGGTTTCCTCCCACTGCTAAAGACCCCTACACGCAGGTGAATTATTGAAATAAAATTGAACCATTATGTTAGTCCAGAAATTACCCAGTCTTTACGCATACTTTGTGACATCTGGGATAGTTCTATTGGTCATTTTAACATTAAAAACCGACATATTACACAACGAAAGTTTCCGAAACGTCAGAAGGAGCCTGACTGTAAACATAAATATAATTTTTTAGCAGAAAATCACCAATTAGGTGATTAATTATAATTAATCAAACTGGGATTTATGTTTAAATTTAAAGTTAATATGTTTACACATCTTATTTTGATAAATAAATGGTAGAATTTCATCACAAAACAGATATTAGTACTTCCGGTGATTAAATTCAAATAATCGTCCTTCACAAGAAAGTCAACTCCATAAACATCACAAATATGGCATTATTATAAAATGTAATTAAAGGAGCTAAATCGCTAACATTTGGGACCTAGAAATTCACAAAAGTGGGTCGCAACGCATATAATACTGTAATATGAATGTATATAAACTGATTTACATTTAATGGTTTCCGTTTTTACTCCAATTTCAAATCAGTTATTTTCGGCGAAATAAGTCAGCAATCTCAATCGAGTGCAAATTGCTAGCGTCTAGTTATTCTAGTCTACATAACTCCATTTGATTTGGTGCAATGTGTCTAGCCTCGTCCCTCGGGTCTCTCAATACAACTGGGTCTGAAGCGCATTATGGTACACGATTCGTGTACCAATGTTAAAAAAAATATTTTATCTTAAATATCGAATATCAGAGGCTCATCTTTTCCCGTAAGTTTACATCATCAATGTTGATTTAAATTGACCAATAATTCGTATTTTCGATGTCGAAGATTTTGGAGGATTTTGAGTTACGGACTTAGGTCCTTTAAATTAAAGTTGTTAGACCTTCGCGGGAAAACAGAGGCGATCATTTCATAAAGGCCAAAGCTATTTATAGTCTTTCCCCCCCTCCCCCCCCCCCCTTTTGCATGCCGATCTTTGTTGAATTTTTGGTGTGGAATTGAAGAAAAGGGTTTGAATATACATTTTCTGCCAGGTTTTGGTGAATTTTTGAGATGGATGGATACAAGTGTTGAGAGGTTGGTTAGGTAGGGCGGAAAATTGGATGTTTACTTGTCTCTACTTCCCGTTTGTTTATCTCAAGTTTTTCATGATGAACCTCATACGTGCTTTTTAGCAGGAGGTTGTCACATGTTGCTCCATCTATGGTAGAAAGCGTTTTACCCATCGGAAATGTGGGGAAAAGATAGAGCCGGTCTAAGAGACGAGAATTAACATTAAAGTCAATGGGGAAATGTGGCCATAAATGATCGCTCTTCGTTCGCAACTAGAACTATGATACATCATAGACATGGGATTAGTTTAAAATGTAATTAAATTAAAGTTGTCTGTGCATATGGGGATTACATTTCATTTCTTAAATGTTAGCCCTTCATTAGCAAATAAACCTCTGTTACATCATAGCCCTCTGATATATCATAGCTATATCAAAATAGCAAACGACTTGTAATAAAAACTAATCAAGTTAATTTGTTATTGTATCTGTACTAGATACCTGGCTAAAAGTTTGCAATCCATAACGGTTATAAACTACAACAGAAAATGTTATGGTATACATCTTTATTTGGGTTGAATTCTTAAAGGGGTGCTGCTCGTAGATAGATTAATATTGACATTACCGGCTTTAGGTTTGATGTATATTCCTTTGCGAATTGAAACTCGACGGAGACGCCAAGGAAGGATCCGCTCGCGTACCAAATACTGGTCTGGGCTGCCTGGTCTGTTGTAGCTATAAAAGTTAAGGGACAATCAATTTCCCCCCGATAAGAAGAAAGTAATCGCGAATGACACAATGCTATACTTTAACGATCGTGTGAATGTAAATTTAAAATCATATTATTGGTTTGTCGGTCTGGGCATGATTCAGATCCTTCGTATCATACAGAATAAACTAACACTGTTATACCACCAACTAGATTAAATCATTTGGTGATAAAGCTTTTAGTGTATACGGTCTGAGATTGTGGTATGTCTCCTGGGTGAGCCCACCTTACTGGAATGTCATGGCACCTTCATGGTTTTCCCATACTGTTATGCTTCTCGACAAACTTCCATAATATTGTTGTATTTACACCGTGGTGGTTGATAGAAGATTAGTCGATCATTCAGAAAAAAATGGCCAATCCATTGAAGTCGTCTTCTGATATTGGTATTCGATTATATACCCATTCCAAACGGCTGAGTACAATTCTCAATACACACTTACGTTAAATGGTATTTTCATCGACTATGTTCCAGATACTTAAAAAATTTAGGTCAACCTTTATGGAATTTTCCAGAATAAACGGAATTAAATTACAAAAATCAATAATGTCTAAAAACACTTTGTTTCATTGAAGTCTTATAGTTTTAGCATTATTACATTTTGAAAGATATAATGTTAAAGCAATACAAAATGTAACACGAGGAGTCAAAGGGTCAATCACCTCCACAATGTAATCTAAGTTAATCTAATAAACGTTTTGCGGTAATATTATCTTGTGAAAAAGATGGTTATTTAGGTATTGGTTTACTTGTTGCAAGACAATTGTTTCACTATTTGTTTCTATAATAATGTATAACAAAACGTTATTATATTACTGTAAGTTTTTAATTCGTAATAATAAAATCCAGGTACAATAATTGTTGACATTTAATATTATCATAGAATTATGTTTATGTTTTTATTAGTGAAGTAATAGTTTAGACAATGAGGAAAAAAAATCAATGATTACCTTTTAACTTTTTAGATTAGCTTGTTTTCTCGTAAGTAAATTTCTTTTAGGACTGAAATTTTTATAACGATTATAAACAAAATTGACATTTTTTTTAATGCTTAAAAATAGAACGGTTACGGTCCATTTACCTAAAACTTTCAGTTTGATATATATTTCCATATATGAAGCCATTGTTGTGATATACTCTCGTTAATCGCAGGCAAAGTAAGTTTAGATAAGTTAATCAGGTTAAGTCATGCTTTAATAGTACCCCTCCCCCTCTAAAAAAAAAACAAAAACAAAAAAACAAAAAGAAGATAAAGTGAACAAAAACAACCCAATAAGATGCCAAAAATTAAAACCATTGTGAATGGAATATAGGAAATAATTTGACTTTGAAAGTTATGTTTACGTGTAGGCATATTCCCTTTAGCCAGTAAGTCTGTGCGAGCTATGTTTATATCCACTTCATTAGACATTCACGAGTTCTGGGATATTCTATAGACGCGGATATGTCGATAGATAATCCCAGATGCCCTTGAAACAGACATGGCGTTATCCCGGATTTAACTACTAGTTTCCAACTGTGTAGAAAGTAATTTACACAAGTATTATTATATTGCTATCATATAATGGACCAAATATTTAACTGTTGACGTCATTCTTTGGATTATATTATTTAATCGGTGACCACTTTCCCCGAGATTGCCTCCCAACAAGTAATTTCAGGTTCTGAAATTCAAGTGGTGCCGTGAACAAGACGGGTTACGCATTCCCTTTCCAGAACACGGGCCATTTCTTATAATAATGTGTACATTTATTTCCCCCACTCAGGCGTATGCTCAAAGTGCGGTGATATTATTACCCCTGTCGTTAGATAGCCTATTTAACGTCTTCCTTATATCTTAGTTAGTACCCTAAATTATGGTGTGTTGTGCTTTGCAAACAAAAGGCCTAGTAGCCGAAACAGAATCGGAAAGAAACACAGCATAGGACTCGCTGATTGGCCCCTCTCCACCTGATCGAATACGCGTACGCAACGCCCCCCCCCCCTGCGCTTTATTTGGTTATTTCACATAACAATTTAAGGAGTAGGGGAATAATAAAAGAACGGCGAGTATAGAGATTTGTGTATTATTTCAGATGGTGAATCAGATTCAAATGTATCAGTTATGTTAGATGGTGAAGAATCATCTGTAGATTTTATAGATCCTGATCCAGATATGGTAGGTGTTTAGTTCTTTATTTTTTAAAACCTCTTATAGTCACTTACATTTATTTCAAGGACAATATCTAAAATTTACGAAGTGAATATTTAATATCAATTAAGAAAGAAACAGAACCTAAACATTATTGGTAGATAATCTCCCAGCTTGATTTCATCGCATTAAAAATAGACACAGGATATCTTTATAACAGCTGAACAGAATTAAACCGTTTTAAGCTGATGTTCCTTTCACAATAATTAGTTTGCAAGGGAGTTGGTTTGAAAAGCGTTCGAATCTTCTATATAACGTTTTTTTATAATTATTAGCCGACCATGAATTTCGCAATATCCAAGGTTGTATTAATCAATTTACAAGATGTAGTTTACCTTAATTATAACATAAGCAAATGTATAATTTACTAAGTGAAACATAATCCAAACAATAATGTATGATCTACTACGCGTGATTTACCTTAACTGAAACGGAATCTAAATAATAATAATGTATGGTCTACTAAGAACAATTTATCTTAATGAAAACATAATCCAATGTATAATCTACAAATGATTTAAACAGAGATCAAAGACTACATTGCTTGGCCGTTTCGTCACTGAAAACAATCACGGATATTTGATCAGTGAGAACTTAGCTTTAAAGATCCATTTGCAGGATGAAGTGTTTCGTAAAGAAACGTACCTAATCGTTCGGATGGGACGAAAAATCGAGGTCCATCGTGTATACTCCTTCGCGTGTACCCCCCCCCCCCCAATTGTCCCAGTTGGTGCAATAATTTATGTTAATTTGATATAGATCCAGTGGTTCTTGGGGGGTTGGATGGCCGAATGGTTAGCACGTGCGTGCTGTATCATACGGCCTGTCATTGAGTCAACTGGCGTGGTTTCGAATCCCCGGTTGTACGTGACAAGGAGTAGGGTCGCCTGTCCAACCTCGTGGGTTTTCTCCGGGTCCTCCGGTTTCCTCCCACTGCTAAAAAAAACCCTACGCGCAAGCGAATTAATGAAATAAAATTAAACCATATGTTAGTCCCGAAATGACCTAATTTGTGTCGAGTGGACGTTAAACCCCATTCCTCTCCCTCTCTCTCCCAGTGGTTCTTCTCGGCTCTCCCCCTCTCTTTTTCAACCTCTCTGTCTCCGTCTCTCTATCTCTGATCTGTGGTTTGTCGGGGAGCAGTAGCACTGATATCTGGTATGATATTAAAATCTTCTGTTTTGGCGCAAATTACTTTCCTTACTGAAGACCCTCCAAAGATGGAATCTGGTGTGTGTGTGTGTGATAGAAAATATTTTGTTCTTCTGCACGGCAATTAAACGTACACTCCTCTCGTAATGACAAAAAATAAACCCAAATGAAACTAACACACCCGCTCATTGCGGCAATAAATCAGTTTTAATAAGACTTGTTACACGGAGTTAGCGTTTAAGCCCGATCTTAAGGATTTCCAGACGCTAACAGATATAAACAATTGAGTAGAAAAACCCAACCTAACTTCATATATATATAAACACCGGATTACTTGAATTCCATAACAAGTATACCGTACGTCATCATGCAAATTCTGAACACATGCATTGTAAAAAAAATAATAATGATCTGATCTGTTTTTTCAACATTTAGGGAAGCGGCGTTAATTAAATACGGTGACTGTGCGGTAATTTAACCATGCACAATTGCTTTTATTGAAAAAATACCCTGGTCAATAAAGAGAGAGAGGTCGTGGTTTCGACCGCAAGCTTGTATGTGACAAGGAGTAGTGTCGCCTGCTCAACCTCCGCTTTCCTGCCACAACGTCGTCATTGCCCATTCTCAGCATGTTCTCATGTTTGCAATTTGGCCTGTTTCTAGCTACATTCTTCTCGGCATTTCAACTGCTACCAGTTTCCGTGTGCTACCAGTTTGTTCATGGGATCCGGACTTCTCGTCATACCCGAATGTCACCCCTGACAAGAAGATGCATTGCGGATTCAGACACGGCAGATTCAGGAACCCAGAATTTTAATCATTTCGACATTCTGTTTTAACTGTGTATTACCGTACTGGCATGGGTATATTTTTTTAACTTGTATACATGATGGCTACACGACAAGGATGCCTGATATAAATATTTATTTACATGTAAATACGTCACTAAGCTTAACACGGCAATGCAGCGATCCCTATTCATCTTTGGAAACGGCGACCATGAATATTTCTTGACACAAAATATAATTGGCAATCTAAATAAAAAGCTTTAGTGAGTCTCACTGTATCCTTATCCAAACCGTACCCTCAACCATGTGCGTCCATGACAGACCATGGCAGACTCAATTTCAACACTAGTGAACATTCTTTGGAAAAATTTTCATCCAATTCATTAGTAATATTTCCTGTTTATTCTGATTGATAGAAATGTTTACCCAAAACAAGTTAATATATTTCATGTCAGATTGGAAGATATTAATTGTTTACTTTTGACTTGGCGAAATGTTGTTAATTGATTTTTTTCATTCTACATCATTTCTACCCCTTTGTAATTTCATTAGAGTCGATGCGACAGAAAATTTTCTTAAAATATTCCCACTGAACGATTCCACCTAAAACAGGTAAAGTTTCGCAGCAATTCGAAAACATGCCTCATCCTTTGATTTTCAATGGTTTAGGTTATCCAAGCATCTCAGATGGACTGTTGGTTACGAAAGTATGCAGAAGACTCTGCTGCAAAGTATGTCGAATACTTAAAGTTGCGCACTCTTAAATACAGTAGCATATATACTATTCAAAAAAAGTAGGGGATATTTGATTTTTAAGTGTTATTAAAGTCACCTAATGAAACTGACGAAGAAACAAATGACAAAATGAAATGAAGTTCACATTCATCGATTTATTCCAAATGATCGTTAGACTAAGTAAGGCACAGACTGACCATTATAAGGGTAAAATGATACCCGGGGTCAAACAGCAAAGTTACCACAGCATCACAACCAAGTCAGTAACGGGTAAATCCTCCTCTGTTTGCCAAACAAGCATTGATCCGACGAGGCATACTCCTAATGAGACGTCTAAGGTCATTTTGGTCCAGATTGTCCCATTCCTGTTGCAACGCAGCAGCAAGTTCTTGGACATTGGCAGGACGTTGTTGACGTTGACGTAACCTCTGTCCAAGCATGTCCCAGACATGCTCGATGGGGGAGAGGTCGGGACTCAGTGCTGGCCAAGGCAATGTGGTGATGTTCTGTTGTTGGAGGTAACCTGTAACGATCCTGGCCCTGTGACATCTTGCGTTGTCATCCTGGAAGATGAAACGGCGGCCATGACGTCGTGCGAACGGCACAACATGGACTGCCAAGATGTTGTCCCGGTAGTACTGGCCTGTAACACGCCCTGCAACAACATGTAAAGCCGTTCTTCCAGCAACAGAGATGCCTCCCCACACCATAACAGAACCACCCCCAAATCGATCATGTCTGATGACGTTAACGTCTTGCAAGCGCTCGTTTCGACGACGCCACACCCTCCTACGTCTGTCAAAAAAATCAACAGTGAACCTTGACTCATCTTGAAAACATCACATTGCTCCAGCGTCGATTATCCCAGTGTTGACGATCCCTACACCAACGACGTCTTGCCTGAATGTGATGATCTCTCAAACAAGGGATCACGCGAGGACGTCGGGCGCGAAGGTGACCCCTATGCAGTCGATTCCGAATCGTCTGGCCACTCACTCTCACACCAGTGTCTGTTTGAAGACGAGCGCTGATCTGATTTGCTGTGATGACACGATTTCTCAAGGCCAAGGTACGGATAAATCGATCCTGGGCTTGAGTTGTCGCTCTTGGTCGACCTGAGCGTGGTCTGTCCTGTACAGATTGTGTATCACGGTATCTGGACCATAGCCTGCTTATGACAGACTGAGAAACATTCATCGTCCGCGCCACAACCGCCTGTGTTGTGCCGATCTGTAGCATGCCAAGGGCACGTAACCTTTCATTTTGGGTAAGCCGACGCATATCAAAATTTGTTTTCTGGTCACTAAAACAATTAAACTGATGTTTCCACCCTGGAATTCAATGCCACAATGACTGTAACATTCAAAGTCAGAGTCGTGCAAATCTTGGGTGGACCCCCATGATGATCCCAAGCATCACCTGCATTCCATGCGGTAGCTATTGGTGCGTTTGGGCGTCACATGTAACTGGAAATGTTTTTTCTGTTAGGTTCTATAGTGACTTTTTTCGTAGTCATTTGCATATTTTAGTATTATGCCCCCAAAATCAAATATCCCCTACTTTTTTTGAATAGTATAGTACATCGAACAGTAATAAATGATAGGTCTAGAGTGTAATCGGATTATATTCCAAATGTTATTTACTTACGTTGAGTGGTAAAGTTGACTAATAATGAGAAGGCGATTAATAACTGGGAAACCCTTTTTCCATCGTAAATATGCGACCTTAGGGGTTTTATGGCTATACTTCCGGAATCCCCGGAAACAGCATAGTCATCATACATTAATGATATCAATCAAAGTACACGTAGTTCAGTATAAATTAAATATGGCGTAATTCCTTTAGTCGTCAGGAACATTGGCTGTTTTATATTCATTCAAATCCAACTTTTCTGAATTATTAGAACTACATGTATTAATATGTTTACGTATTATGTCATTTGATGTGTGGTTGGTGCTTACAGCATGAAGATTACGCTGTAGATTACGCTGCAATATAAATTTTTATAAATTATCACATTAGTCCATTGGACATTTCGGATATAAAAAATTAGCTAGTTTGACGACATAGTTTGCTAGAACAGTATATTCATAAAAAAATTTAAATTGATTGTAACTTAAGATCAGTACTAATGAGTTACCATTTACAATCGAATTTAAGATTTTTTTATTCCTTAAAATTACTTTTATTTTGTATTTGTAGGATTGGAGAGCTCAAACAACCATAGATGCCTATATTATAGTATTTGCCATAGATGACAGAACGAGTTTTGAGAAAGCGACCGACATATTATATGAATTAAAACAGAGGGCTGAAACTGACAACGCTATTATACTGGTAGCTAATAAATGTGACTTGGTTAGAACGCGAGTCGTCAGTACAGAAGGTAATACTGCAAGATGTATAAATAATTTAACAAAAATGCGTGATTCATTATAACTGCCTGTATTGAGACCTTTGCAAACCGCGTTATAACGATGTCGCAATGTACGTCCTCCCTGTTTGGTGTTTCGTTGCTGCCTAATGAATGTCAATGAAACGAATGAATGAAACGGAAATTAACGCCCTAGTTTTCAGCTCCACCCGGGCATACACCACGCAGTGTGCTATGAGGCAATTGAATTCCAGCTGTCAAGGTGTAGACGAGACCACGTTCTTTTCGTCCCACCCGATCGCCTATACGCTGTTTCTTGCTTGGCCTTCCGTCCTGCGCCACTGACAAGGGGGAATTAGGCCAACACCAGAATCGAAGAATGCCACTAGACCATGCGGGTATTTCTGAAGGGTTCAAACGAACTTGTCATAGTCAAGACAAAAAGGGCGAGATTTAGCTACCACACACACACACACACACCACATTTCGCCTGCTTGAAAGCAGATTGAACTTTGGGGAGGAATTGTGATTGACCAAAACATGCAAAGAAACGCAAATAAATCAGATAATTGAATATCATTGTTTTGTGTTTTTGTCAGAAATCAATCATGTTTTATCCGGATTTTAAAATGATGATTGAGAACATCCGTTAAAATAAAAGCCAATCTGTAAATGACAAAACAACAATGACGCTGGCAAACGAAAAAAAAGACGTAAGTCAAATTAAATGAAATCTATGCTTTCAGAAAGGATTAGAAATTGGTATTATTACAAGAAATTATTTTTGCTGATAAACCCACTTGACAATAATTTGCCCCCAGTCCAAAACAGAATAATAAAATAATCTTCCAAGTTTCTAAGAAATATAATATCTAATTTCAAGAAAAAAAGAAGAAGGAAAGCGTTCGTAAAGAAATCTTGCATTCGCTAACAGCAAGTGAAATATAAAAGAGATGTATCACAGTCAGAAAATAATTACTAAGCAACTTTTCTTTTTCGTTAAAAAATATTATTTCACTTTTCTGCTCCGGGCATAAGAAAAATACTCGAAATGTATGACCAAGCAAATAACTGCAATGAATACATATTTGCTGACAAAATATCATTACTTTCAATGACAATACTAGTGATTTGTTGCCAGAAAAAACAATATCGGAAAAACATCCCGGGTTTACTTTTTATGCGTTTTTTATTGGTTAAAAATACAAGGTGGTAAAACGGCGGACATATTCTCACAATTTCGTTTGATTTAACATTGGGAAAGTGAAAACAGACGAATCAATCTCTTAAATAAAACCTCTCACGAAACACTAAACCAATTAAGGATTCTCTTTTATATTCTACGTCTGCCTATGACCTGCTCGGCCATTAAATGGTGTCTTTTTTAGAGTGCTTAACCACAACACGCTGACATTAATGGTTGAATAAAGAACACGCGATTCATTTGGGGGCACTGAACAGCTTTCAATCAAAAAACCGTGTAACTGAGATAATTTGAAGTTTTCAGATCGGTGGTCAAGGCTGCAATTAAGTGAAAATAGAACTCTTTATGAAAAAAGTGTATCATCAATGCATTGACATAGCTATGGGAATAAAAGGTGTAATGGACATTCACATTGTGATTTTTGATACTCATAATTTCATACTTTCCAGCAACAATTTTATGCACCACAAAACAGATATATTTAACATTTTCATTCTTTAATTTTCCGTATTAATCAGAGGCGGATTACCCCATAGGCACTGTAGGCAGCTGCCTAGGGCCCAAGCAAAAATAGGGCCCATAAACTTTTTGCTTTGATGACCTTTTTAAATTTGACGAAGCTCACTCGGTTGTGTCGGCCGTTCACTATGGGAGAAGAAGCACACACGGTCAGTGACACCATAGTGTTCGAGGTGAGCTTTAGTGTAATCGATCACTCCAACTGGGAGACTGGTCACTCGCTCGCCTTGCATTAGCCTGGCATCCGGTTTCGCTTTCATTTTAAAAAAGTTTTTGCGATTTTCTCTTGAAATTTGTCTTTCTTTCATTATGTGAAAGCCGCCTCACTTCGACGTAGGCCTGTTCGCCGTTGATATGGCTCAAAGGCAAAGGTGTGGATGGGAGAAGAGAGAATAGAAAAAACATGAAGCTGAAATGCTGAAAAAAGCGGCAAACTAAGCGGTCTTAGTTTTACTACGGCAAACCAATTCATCAAAGGGCCCAGCTGGTCGAGCTGCCTAGGGTCCATCAGAGCCTTGATCCGCCTCTGGTATTGGTCTCACAGAAAGGATCGTGGCATGTTTCTTCGAGCGTAATATACTATTCAAAAAAAGTAGGGGATATTTGATTTTGGGGGCATAATACTAAAATATGCAAATGACTACGAAAAAAGTCACTATAGAACCTAACAGAAGAAACATTTCCAGTTACATGTGACGCCCAAACGCACCAATAGCTACCGCATGGAATGCATGTGATGCTTGGGATCATCATGGGGGTCCAACCCAAGATTTGCACGACTCTGACTTTGAATGTTACAGTCATTGTGGCATTGAATTCCAGGGTGGAAACATCAGTTTAATTGTTTTAGTGACCAGAAAACAAATTTTGATATGCGTCGGCTTACCCAAAATGAAAGGTTACGTGCCCTTGGCATGCTACAGATCGGCACAACACAGGCGGTTGTGGCGCGGACTATGAATGTTTCTCAGTCTGTCATAAGCAGGCTATGGTCCAGATACCGTGATACACAATCTGTACAGGACAGACCACGCTCAGGTCGACCAAGGGCGACAACTCAAGCCCAGGATCGATTTATCCGTACCTTGGCCTTGAGAAATCGTGTCATCACAGCAAATCAGATCAGCGCTCGTCTTCAAACAGACACTGGTGTGAGAGTGAGTGGCCAGACGATTCGGAATCGACTGCATAGGGGTCACCTTCGCGCCCGACGTCCTCGCGTGATCCCTTGTTTGAGAGATCATCACATTCAGGCAAGACGTCGTTGGTGTAGGGATCGTCAACACTGGGATAATCGACGCTGGAGCAATGTGATGTTTTCAGATGAGTCAAGGTTCACTGTTGATTTTTTGGACAGACGTAGGAGGGTGTGGCGTCGTCGAAACGAGCGCTTCCAAGACGTTAACGTCATCAGACATGATCGATTTGGGGGTGGTTCTGTTATGGTGTGGGGAGGCATCACTGTTGCTGGAAGAACGGCTTTACATGTTGTTGCAGGGCGTGTTACAGGTCAGTACTACCGGGACAACATCTTGGCAGTCCATGTTGTGCCGTTCGCACGACGTCATGGCCGCCGTTTCATCTTCCAGGATGACAACGCAAGATGTCACAGGGCCAGGATCGTTACAGGTTACCTCCAACAACAGAACATCACCACATTACCTTGGCCAGCACTGAGTCCCGACCTCTCCCCCATCGAGCATGTCTGGGACATGCTTGGACAGAGGTTACGTCAACGTCAACAACGTCCTGCCAATGTCCAAGAACTTGCTGCTGCGTTGCAACAGGAATGGGACAATCTGGACCAAAATGACCTTAGACGTCTCATTAGGAGTATGCCACGTCGGATCAATGCTTGTTTGGCAAACGGAGGAGGATTTACCCGTTACTGACTTGGTTGTGATGCTGTGGTAACTTTGCTGTTTGACCCCGGGTATCATTTTACCCTTATAATGGTCAGTCTGTGCCTTACTTAGTCTAACGATCATTTGGAATAAATCGATGAATGTGAACTTCATTTCATTTTGTCATTTGTTTCTTCGTCAGTTTCATTAGGTGACTTTAATAACACTTAAAAATCAAATATCCCCTACTTTTTTTGAATAGTATATGTCCACCTTTTCGACCTATAGATATTTCGAAAAATATGATATTTCTTTCTAACCACCTGAATATATGAGATTATTTGTCAGTTACATAGGCTATACCTTAATAGATTAAATAAATTAATTATTACAGAGTGTTAACCACTGTTTGTGATATTTCTCATGATGTGTGGTAACGCCATCAATAACCCATTCGCTGCGTTACAATCCAGCTTCAATTTATGACATTAAAATTGGTACATTACAAAAAGAACGATACTTAATGTAAACATTTTCGAGATAGTTTCAATAGTTTTGATATCTGTGTTATTTGCTGCTGTCTTCTGTTAGGTCCGTGGATCAAACAATTATTCACACTTAACTAATTATAGATGGATATGACATACTTAACCCAATCAACACTTTATTTTGATTTTGAGTGTCAATTTAGTAAAATTATTTTTTTTATTTATTTCGCCAAATTTAGAAGTTGTCTGCGTTATGCTATAAATCTTATAGAGCCAAGCTTAAAAAGGCTTTGCCCCTTTAAGTGTTGTCAAAAATAAAATTGACGAATTCATTAAATTTTATTGATCTGTTTTGAGTGATGACACAACTTCACGCCTAGATGGACCAAGCCCAGATTGAGATAGATATATATCCTAATTTGTGTTCCACTGTGAAAACTAACGTGGTGAAATGGCGGATTTCCTGATAATGTTTCGTTATAAATATATAGTTTCCACCCAAATTCGGTACCCAACCGAAGAGGTTTTGGTAACTAAACATAAAATCATACTGGTCTTACCCCACCTTTATATAACACATCACATTTGACCTAAATAAATATTTCTGAGTTAATAATACCCTTGTTTTTTTTTTGTTTTTTTACAGAATCAAAGAGTATAGCTACAATGTACGACTGTAAATTTGTAGAAACGTCAGTAGTATTAAATCATAACGTAGACGATCTACTGGTCGGAATTATAAGCCAAATACGCCGTAAGAAACATCGACATGGAGCAATGGGCTCCGACGAACATGGCTGTTATTCCAGAAGTAAGAATCTGCTGAGCAAGATTTTCAAAAGAGACCCAATGTCAAAGTCATGTGAGAAACTTTATGGACCTTAGATAATGGTCGAAGTATTTTGTCATCAACCTAACCGAAGAAACAGTTTATTTCACTAAAACTGCAACATTTGCTCTCATTGTATTGCCTTGTTATCGATGTATTTTCAACCGGAGGTGAATATAATACGTACTTTTAAAAACAAAGGAAAGAGACATACCATGTATTTAAACTTAAACTATTGGTTCCATTGTGTTGCCTCGTTATCAATGTGTTTCCAAATGGAAGTAACTTTTAAAAACTCCTGACTCTTTGGGTTGCCAAGTTATTAGTGACAAAATAGCATTTTCTAACTGTCACTTTGCCATTACTATTTTATGATCTTATTACTCGTTTCTACTTTATTATTGAAATATACAAAGTTGACCTTGACTTATGTCTTTATTATTGATAATCAGGAATATATTTGCCTTAGGGTGTATGCAGCAACTGTCAACAACTATAATCATCAAAGATGGCACTCATTATATAAAAATATCATGAATAAAATAAATAATCTGAGTTGGTGTCATCGTAATCCTAAACCACACGGGAAGAAACATTTAAAACTATAAACTTTTACCACTTTGGGTACCTAATATTACCAAGATTTCATTTGCTCTGAATGTGTAACAACATTCCGTCCCGTTTTATTTTTTGATCCTTTATTCCATTTCACCTTGGTCTAAAGGTAATCTTTATAGCTCGTTCTGGTTGATATTGGTAGGCTCCAAAATTGAGACCCGGAATACAGAAAATGATTTCGTTTTCCGAACATTTGATTGGTCAATGGTATTATGTTGATGTGGTCATCGGCCCAGAACGCATTTTCCTAAACATGTCTTGGGAAATTTAACGAAGCGAGCAACCGAAAAAACAATGGAACGAAAATAACATCTAGTTTACATTAGATTGACTAACTGTTGGAAATCTACGGATATTAAAAGAGTGGTCAATCTGTGTAGTAAAGAAACTAGCTGACAAAACTTTAACAAATGACATTTTTGGTTGTGAATTTCGCGTGGTTGTACATTATTGATTAAAATTTAATTTTTTTTATATAATTTATGGTGTAAATATTTCTTGGATTTTGTTTATACATAACAAAGTGTATGTTAAATGGGTCATGAGAATTTTTTTTTCTTAAATTTAATTATTTTCCATATCATTTATTTTTATACGCGAATCTATTTGTAGACGAAAAGAATCAATTATCCAATATGCTGTTCGAATGGCTAATGCATCAGGTTTAATGCCCTGACACAATGTAAGGATTCAATAATTATAATACTGGAGATAGGTTTTTTCTAATGAACATGTGTAGAAAACGTTTCAGTAATGCTCGAAGAATTTAAGTTACTAGACACGTAGTTTTAAACTTTAACTTTTACCGAAATACACCCGACAATATGCCTGAATTAGATTAATAAATGCTTTTATTCAAATATATTTTGGCCCAAAAATTATTGAAATTGATGCATTCTAACTCAATTTTCGGCCATTTAAAGTTTACATTGGTTTCTATTGATTTCACTGGTAGAAAGATAATAATAATATTATTTTTCTACCATTTCCGTACCATCCATTCTTTTCTTCATGACGTTTGTTTTTAATTATCAGAAATATTTACTAAGGTCCTTTCTTTAAAAAGTAAATAATTGTAACTTTGTAGATATATGTGAACTGCCTGGTTTGTTGTGCCCGAATTAGTTGGTGTGTGAATGGCTCAATTGTACTGTCTATATGATATAATGGTATCTATAGCCCTCACACCCGCCAACCGAAGTTACGAGTTTATTCGTAAAGAACGGTAATGATTTCCCTAGTGATGTTATAACTATTTCTGAAACATTATTACTTTCTAATAACTTGTCTGCTTTGACTTTAGTGGGAACAATTAAAGTATTTCAACTTAGTACTTTTCATGCGATTACCAAGAACCAGAAGTGTTATAGAAGTGCATTGACATAGGGTTGTGACACATGATTATCCAGCTACGGGGTAACTGGCGTGCATTTTACCTGTATCCGCACGTAAAGAAATGAAATAAATTGAAATAGGGTATAACGTCCTACTGTTCTGCCCCGACTGGGAAAATGAAGACGAGCCTACGTCATACAGTGTGCTGTGAGGGAAATTTTGCCCGGACAGCGGCGCTACTGCCTACATTTTTTTTTATGGAATTCCAATTGCCAAGGGATCGCTAAAGTTTTTACACGGGACCTAGGTTTTCCGTACCATCCGAACGACTATACGTTGTCCCTTGCCACGCACATAAAGAAGTCTTAAACGTTTCAACAAGAAGTGAAATTGATTTCAAATATCATAATCATAATAATCCTCGTTCTAATATCTCTTTCAAAGACAATAATTCATACTCATTCATATTATACCTTTAAAACCGTCGCATTTAGTTCATCCATTTCTCCATAAAACATAGACACCTCTTCCATGATTTAGAATTCAATATCTGAGCAATGATTTGATCGGTTGAAGGCGATAACCCCATGGTAAAGTTCCTAGTTCTTTCAGTACAATAACAGGGTATTTATGGTTTATAATATTAGGTTTTAATAAATAAGATATCTGGTCGGCGACATAAAAAGAATCGTATATCGACTGTCAAAGACATTTTTAGAAAGGTAATATCGTCGAGTCACGAATCCAAAATCTGAATATTGGATATATCGAACTCAGATAAAGGTCAGTTTATGATTATGTATTTTTAATTCCATATTAAAGGGTATATTTGTGCTTCTTGTTATTGAGATAATATGTTTGTATGACTCTATTATGTTATTGTTTAATTATAATTTTGTTAAATATGTGCCTCGCTGAATTAATGTTATATGGATTAAGACCAGTAATTGAAACCTCTTATTTCGGTTTCCACGATTGTAGTGCGTCTAGCAATTCTTTGTTTTCCACTCTTTGCAGGCGCAGAGAGTTTTCAAAAAGACCCCCCCCCCTCCTTTAATATCTTTTTATCAGATGATGTATTTATAAGATTACGATCATCGGCTAGGATATTTCATAGATTTACTATTCTTAATCTATATAACGGATATTAAAATTACGGTGTATGTCCATTCTTCCATATTATGGTTGTGAAATGTCATTATTTTTTGTATATAAAGATTGTGTGTATTTATTCTGTATATTTTTTGTAATTGGATTGTATTGGGTTTTTTTCCAAGAAAATGTTTTTCATCGATTTCAACTTTCTACTTAACCGATTCCAATAGCTTCAATCGATAGTCAAATGGGCAAGAAGCCGTGTGCACACTGATTCAAATAAAAAGAAAACAGATTTGGATAGCTAACATTTCGAGAGAGAGGGGGTTAACGTCCATTCGACACAAACTATGTCATTTCTTTCGGGACTAACATATGGTTCTATTTTATTTCAAAAATTCGCTTGCGTAGGGGTCTTTAGCGGTGGGAGGAAACCGGAGAACCCGGAGAAAACCCACAAGGTTGGACAGGCGACGCTACTCCTTGTCACGTACAACCGGGGAACCGAAACCACGCCAGTTCACTCAATGACAGACCTTATGATACAGTGCGCACGTGCTAACCATTCGGCCATCCAAATTGGGTCTTTAGCAGTTGGAGGAAACCGGAGAACCCGGAGAAAACCCAGGAGGTTGGAAAGGCGACCCTGTTCCTTGTCACGTACAACCGGAGAATCGAAACCACGCCAGTTGACTCAATGATAGACCTTATGATACAGCGCGCACGTGCTAACCATTCGGCCATTCACCCCCCCCCCCCTAACATTTCGTGTTTATCATGTACTAACGGGAAATCAGAACCATAAACCACATACTGTCTAACTAATCATATATATATAAAAATAGAACCACGATTTAGCACTAAAATCAAAGAAAAATTCTGTGATTTCAAATGATTTTGAAATGTCTACCTACTGTGAATTTAAGGAAATGTCACGTAACCCGGCGCTCTTCCATATGATTGGTCCACTGCGTCGATAAACAACGAAAACGTGTTTGTTTAGTGTTTATTTAAATCAATGTGCACCCGGTTTACATTGCTTGCTGATGATCATTCGACCGACTATTTTATCATGTGCAAGTTTAAGAAAGTGTGACTGTCCACTTTAATTCTAGACGCTAAAATCAACTTTTCGCTAACTGTTCTTCAATTTCCATCGCCGAGGTTACACTTTATCTAAGAGCAGGGGCCTGTTTCACGAAATTTTAACTAAGATAAAATCAAAATTTTAGTAATTTGATTGGATAATATTAAATTGATTTTAGTCCTTAGCCAATCAAAATTGAAGTATCTACTAAAATTTGGATATTATCTTTAGGAGCGACACAATAAACTTGTTCAAAGGTATTTTGGATGAATCTAGATCATTTAGTTTCGACTATTTCACTTTCATTTGTATGTTTAAAACCAGGTTATATTTATTATACATCGAACTATAAAACTATATCGTCAACTTGTGTACTATTATCATCTTTATTTTACTATAAACGGATCGGTCTATAAATTTTATTATACATTTGACTGAAACATTGTCATACACCGTATGAATAATATGTACAATAAAATAAAATAAAATGAATGTTACTTATGCGTTGTGTTTTCTTACAATATCATTTCTCGATTTTACAGATTTTGGAATTTGTTGGCCTTTGAGATCGATAATATTATATGTCTCATCATATTGTACCTTCAATGCGCCCCTGTCCTGCCAGGAAATATATTTGCGCAAATTCCAAACAAATTGGTTGAAACCAAGAATGTTTACACCAGAAGGACGACCAATTCTAGTATACCTGAAGCATCGGATACTTTAACATATACATGGTTTCCGAAAGACAGATACTTATTTGTATTAAACATTATCCAAGCACTGTTTCCAGATGAGCAAGAAGTGCACTACTGGCTTTCCGTATGATTCAGGGAGCCACGGTGACTCAGTGGGGTAAACGTTGGCTCGCTAACCTGAAGGTCCCGTGTTCGATCAATGTGTTGGCCGACAAAATTCATCTAGCTTTTCTGGCATGGTTCCCCCTTGTCAGTGGTGCAGAAAAGGTAGCGTGACAAGGGACAACGTATAGTCGTCCGGATGGCACGAAAAACCTTGGCCCCGTATACAAATTGGCGTGCACGTAAAAGAACCCTTGGCAGTTGAGTTGTAATTCTATATTTATAGAAGAATAGGCCAAAGCACCGCTGTCCAGGCAAATTTTCCGCATAGAACACTGTATGACGTATGTCTGTTTTCATTAGCCCAGTCGGAGCCGAACAGTATAGCCATATCTTCATTATCTCGGTTGGTACAGAAAAGTAAAGACGTGCAAGTCCATTTCATTTTCTATAATTGATGACAGTTTAACCTTTATCAAGCTGATTTATATGACATGTTTTAGCTATATAATTCCCCAGATCGTTGCTGGTATATATAATCATGTTTGAAGTTCACAGTGACCGAACCATGTTGTTGTTGTTGTTACTGATGAACTAGTTTAAAATTCACGGTGACACAACCATTGTGCAAATGTACCATTTATTAATGATGCATTATGAAAGAGCTAAATCTGTCAAATGCGAATCTCTCGTTTGACTTCAAATGTTATATGAATTAGACATTTATTCACATGCCAAAACCCACAATGAACCCTTTAGACCAATTTGATTTTGAACATGTTAAACACGATTACCAGTTAGTAATTTAATTACATATTATGAATAATCAAGACTTTGTTTATTATCGTAACAACGGTAGCAATGACAATCGTGACTACACTGTTCTCCAAACGGCCATGAAGCAATTAAGTAATTTGACTGAAATTTTCAACATAATATCCATTTTTTAACTATTATAGCTAGTACTGTCAGCTCTTTATCGAAATTAATTAATTAAATTAAATTAGTCATTTATATAGGGCGATTTATCCAGGATGCCTGCTCAAATGCGCTTAGTCGTAAGCTCTCGTGAAAAGAATAGTCTTCAATCTGGATTTAAAGGTGTTCGTATCTTCTATTTGTTTTAGTGTTAGGGGTAGATCGTTCCATAAAACAGCAGCAGACTTCATGAACATCCTATCACCGTAGTTGGTTCTGGATGTAGGGACAGAAAGTTGGAGTCCACTGCCTGATCTTAGCTGACGTGTTGGTTTGTACTCTTGTAGCAATTCTTGCAGATATTGAGGTGCTCTGCCATTAATGGATTTGTGAGCAATAACTAGAATTTTATATTGGATTCTGGATCTAATAGGGAGCCAATGTAATTCTTATAGAGCTCGGGAAATGTGTGATCTGATTGAAGTTCGGGTAACTAATCTAGCAGCAGTATTTTGAATCCTTTGGAGTTTGTTAAGTAAAGTTTGACTGATTCCATATAATAGACTGTTACAGTAGTCGAGTTGTGATATTACCATAGCCCGAACAAGAGATTTTACACAACGTTTATTAATATATATTTGTAGATTTTTTATTGATGGAAGTTAATTTAAGGTTATATACAACACAATTTCTACGTCATTTTATCTATATAAATAGTATACTATTTAAAATTGTATTTATATTTGAAAAGTATTAGAGCAATAATAATTCACATCTCCCAGCATATGTGTTTGAGGTATTTCTTTAAAAAACATGGACAACGAGTAACTTTCTCCGGCTATTCCTGCAGCCATTGTGAATGTCTCCCCTACCCCCTGAAACTGAAGAATGGTGAACGATAGTAAAAGAAACCACAGCTGTTGATAGTACGATTTATAGATGCATTGTGTAAGATGTAAATATGCCTATTGCAGGTCTTTATTTTGGCTTCGAATGTTATATAGACTATTATTTAAACATTTATTAACATGACAAGCCATAATCAAATCTCTTTAGGTCATTTAATGATTAAATTTAAAAAGAAAGAACAAATACCGTTGTTACGATAATAAACAATCAATGCACACATTTGTCAAAACTACAAAGAATGATAACTTCCCTCAGAATAAAGTAATTCGAATGAAATTTTCAATATATTCATTTTTCATTATCTATTTTTGAACTATTATAGCAAGAATGACCTATAGTCCTGTATCCATTTCTTACATAATGTATCTTTAACGAATCGCACACTTTGAAGGATCCGTTTTATGCTAACTGCATGTTATACCATAATCAGATATATGAAAGACGCCATAGTATGTTTAGTTCTTCGGCTTTTGATAAATAAATAGAGACTCGAGTGTCGTGAACCATGTTTCTTGTAATATTTAAAAACTTTAAGAAAAATAGACAGCTAAAGTCTGAATTGGCGAGGCCATTATATATATATATATTTATATATTTTACATATAGAAGTGATACCATATAAAATACAAACAATAATTTCCGTTTTACGTAAACCTAAATTTTAAATTAGACCCGGCCATTTTTGATTTGTAGATTTCATCAAACCAGTCATTCACTGCTACACTAAACCAATTTCTCCAATCACCAACTTCACCTATACAAAAAAACAACAACAAACAAACGTGTTGAGTTATTCTGGGAGTGCGTGTGTGATATGTTGGTGTGGGTGGTGTGGGTGGGGTGGGCTTCGTATACCGCTCCAAGGGAGATAACCTTATAATTCACTAAATTATCCTAAGGACTTTGCCGTCTTTAGCTGTTTCACTGGCATTTTGTTATGGGTTTCTACTACAGATGGAGACACGTGTGGTCCTACCACGGAAATGTACAGATGCACTAACTGAAAGTTGCATACTACTAAGTATTACACCTAAATAACCTCTTGACACAGAGGCTATACTAACAGAAACTACATCTTGACAGAGAAGCTAGGTTATTATTATAACAAAAACTACATCTTGACGGAGAGGCTGTCATAACAAAAACTACATCTTGAAAGTGAGGCTATAATAACAAAAACAACACTTTGAGAGATAGGCTATAATAACAGAAATAACTCATTGAGAGATAGGCTATCATAACAGAAACTACATCGTGTTTTGCTTTAGTTGTGTGCCTCCTATATAGTTTAGGAACTGCATGTATCAGCATAATTATTTTTTTTTGCTTGTGAACAGCATTTCAGTAAAATAATTATATTTCTATTATCCATCAGTTTATATGAGTATCATTCATTATAAAACGGACAAAGTTGCAATATTTTGCGTTTATTTCTGTTTCGATTTTAGATACATTTTCTGGGATATAAAAAATCGGTCAATAAACTCAGATAATAAACTCCGTAGTTACCTTTTCTGTAAATGGCTTTATTTCTATCCTCGAGGAATTGTATGTGACCTTTGAACCTTTCTTGAATAGCCTCAAATTTACAAGTATCCTTGATACTTTCTATTAAATCTTCATTTCTCTCAACTCCCAAAAAATCGGACAACCTTCTAATTTCTCTGATCGGATTCTGAAAACAAAAATGTCACAAATTAACATACACTCTAAACACCAACCCCTAATTCTCTGGCGATAATTATCAGTAACATAAATTTTCAAAACGGCAAAATAACAATTAACCTAACATTGCTGTCATACCTTCTATAACTGATACAAAATCAAAGTAATATGTGGGGATCACGTGGCTAAGTGGGTAAGACGCTAGCTCGCTAGCCTGGAGGTCGGGTGTTCGATCCCTGCATTGGCCGAGAAAGTTCATCCAGATTTTCCGGCGTGGTTCTCCCTTGTCAGTGATGCAGGACGGAGGGGCTGACAAGGAAAGCTGTCTAGTCGTTCGGATGGGACGAAAACCGAGGTCCCGTGTAGACATAGTTGGAATTCGATATAAGAGTAGGCCGTAGTGCCGCTGTCCGGGCAAAATTTCCCTCATAGCACACTGTATGGCGTATGCCCGTCTTCATTAGCCCAGGTTAGGAGCAGAACAGTAGGACGTTAAACTCCATTTCATTTCAAAGTAATATGTATATATCGTGTTTGAATCAGGCCCGTTGCCGACCATAGCTCTAAAATACCTACTGTAGACTGTGCCCCCCCCCCACCAAAAAACAAAAACAAACTCCATTGCCCCTCCGCAGCCAGCAAGCTCACTACGGGCCTGGTTTGAATGACAAATAAGTGAAAAATTGATACACGAAAGCTGTGCTACTGTTGACACTGGAAATTTGTAAGTATGCTGGATCACATATTTGATGGAATTCCTGAAATATATATTAGCTTCGTCACCTTTTTTACCTATATCAACGGACACAGATAAAGTGGTATTCATGGATTAGGAGAAGATGAGCAACATAAATAAAAACTTTTTAAGTTTAGTTTACCTCTTTAAGATCTTCATACGATAACTCAAATATTGATAACTCTTTATTTTCACGTATAACCTTTTCCCAATCTAAAACATAATCAAACCATGACCCATAGTCAACTGAAATTAAAACAATTCTATACATCATTTTTTTAACAGTATATTAGACAGAAATATACGATGTTTCAGCCATCGACCACAAATAATTTTAAACTAAACCAGAGAGAGATCAATTAGCTTTACTTGCTGATACATAGGGTTTATCAGAAAGAATTTGCATAATTGTTGGCTAAATTTTTATTGGACATATAGATAGTGCAATGAATGGAAAACGCTTATTTATAATATTGATGGAACGGATAGGATTAGAAAGAAAACCAGAAGGACTATAATCTTGAATGATATTCTTACTCTCGTCACCGGGTGTCCGTACTAACCCTTAGACAAATAACTCCACCCCAGCTACAAACGAATACCACAGACACAACCTACCTGCAGCTAGCTACAATTTAGTTTTCGAACATTAGTTACGTACGTTTACAACCGGAACCAAAATTAGACCACAGGAACAACAATTGTCAAGTATTTTGAGCCCCAAAATATGTTTGGTGTATACATTTTCTATCGATATAGACCACGGTGGCATACATTATAACCTCAATGATCTATAACTTAATATGCCACTACACTATACAGTTTTTACATAGATGGGCTGATTAATATTTTACATTCAACTCGATCAAAATATCATGAATGTAAATAAACGATTTGATGGGAATTATTATAATATATTCATAACTTCATAATCTTTATTCTAGAAGTAGGCTATTGGGGCCATTACAACGAGGCGCAGCAATATTATTTTGTGATCGTCACGTGAGACATTGGAACGTTTGCTAACTATAATATTCTAAAGGTGAATCAACTAAAGAAATACCATGGTTCAATTCCGTTCAGTATTTACCAAGACATGATTAATTGTTAATATAAATACCCTCTTCAGGTGATATATACGGGTTATGTACAAAACAACCCAGCGCCACCTAAATCATTTGATGGATGTCTTTTTAATTCGTTTGAATCAAACTCAGGAGATTAGTAAATTCCACTGCCTATAGATGCTACTACAGTAGAATCTGTATGAGCAGCCACTCCTATTCAGCCAGACATCTCCTTTTAAGCGGTCACGATAAATTCCCCCCGTACAAATTGATGTTCGCTTCCAATGCATCCAAGCGTAATATTTAATTTATGTCAGCACAAAAAGCACCGAGATTTTATTAAGAGGCCACTCCCGTTAAGCGGCCAGTCGTGAAAATTCCCTTGGTGGCTGCTTAATGCAGATTCTACTGTATATTTTATTCGATTAATCAAAAGGAGTAAATAAATGAACAACTCACCTTTTCCAGCAGTAAATAATTCTAAATAATCTTTGAACTCTCCATCATATTCATATAATGGCGTTATTCTAATGGTATAATTATATAAGGAAACGGCCACATCCTTCGGGTTTCGTCTGATATAAACTATCTTGGGTTTCTTAGTTTTTATATCTTTCGGTAAATTGTCGAATCTTACATGAGTGTTGATTACTCTGGGTGACGGTTCCTGGTCCAAATCCTCCTGTGGAATAAGCTCTGCCATAAATTTGCCTTTTGGTATCTGTTCAAGGTCTACCCGACCATTTTTTAACATTCGACAAATCTCAAACATCCAGTATGTTCCTAAAAATAAAAACACATTCTAATGAAGACGATTATTTCAAAGAGAATGTTTGTTCATTAGTCAATCGACATTCGAATAAAGATACAATTCACACATTTCACAGTTGAGTTAAGTTGGCAAACCAAACGACAAAATGTGACAAAACAGCCAAACTACAACTACCTTGTCCGAAACATTCGGATAAAGATACAATTCTCACATTTCACAATTGAGTTAGATTGACAAACGTACCATACGACAAAAAGTGAAAAACGGTCAAACTACCTTGTCCGAAACATTCGAATAAAGATACAATTCTCCCATTTCACAGTTGGGTTAAGTTGGCACACCAAACGACAAAATGTGAAAAAAAAACCGGTCAAACTGTCTTATCCGAAACACAGTCAAGTAATGCAGTTGAAATTGCTTGAATGTTAACCACGACCATCGCTTACGTATAACTATTATATATTAGGGACTTGTCTGTGATATGATCATATGTGAAAGCAAACTTTAAGTCTGATGAACGAACAAAGAAATTGGGGACTTAACGCTAACCTTGTAAGGTGACTGAACAGTGATATTTCTTTGAAAAGTCTTAAGATGGTCGCACAGGACCGTGAAACTCGTTTCTCATAGAGACTTTCATACATAATTAACAACTTTTATTAAACATGCATTATGCAAGCGCTAAATTTGCCTATTGTAGGTCTTCTCCAAGTCTTAAATGCTATCTAAATTATTAATTAAACATTCATTGACTTAGCAAGACCATAATCAACTCTCGGTACCATCGGATGCCTACGATATTTAGTGGATTCGAATACGTTTTGTGGTGGATGAAATAACCGTGAAATGGATAAATGGATATCATCGTAACAACGGTAGTAATGACGATTGAGGCTATCGTTTGAATCGCTAATAACTAGGTTTAGAGTGAAGCAATTTGACTTAAATTTTCAGCATATCCTCTTTTCATTGCCAGCTCTATCTATATAAATCTTATCTAGTGTTTCTTTAATTAGAGTCGCCACCGTTCCTTTAGCAAGATAATTGCAGATATTTTACCTGATTTTGGATAAGAACATAGAATGACGTCATCTTCTCTAAGTTTAAGTGATGGAACATTTTTGACAATATCAGGATGCTTGTAGTTGGGATAAAGCCTTCCTTCCCATTCCAATAATGTCACTGTTTTACCAGAAGCGTCTGGGATCTTCACAACAGACATGATTCTATTATCTACGATAAAAAAACAACATATTATTAAGAATAAAACAATATATTTCACGGATGATTAAAATTCTAATTTTGGACGACTGGACATTGTATATGCATACAATACGCGGTACAGAACGAATAAGCTGTGAGGACTGGTTACTCTTGTCTAACAATTACGTCTTGACTCAAATTAAACGATGTTTACTTATAACTTATGCAGCTAATTTTGGAACAGAAACCAATCTTAAAGCGACTGTTCCATGTGGGTGACGCTCTCTTCGATCTTCGAAGAAAACCTAAGGATCCGCCAATTGACGTACGATCAACATGAAACTTGGCCTACCAGTTCCCTGGAGAGTTGCGCATTGATTGGCTGACATTCCAAGATGGCTGCGATGAAGTTAAATAATCAGTTCCTGGTTCATAGTAACGTGGTACGTGTTAAATATGTAAACACTATTTAACTTAGTATTTGTGAACGAAATTTTGAAAAAGCGCAATGTCTGCTTTATAACTCACATAAATATGTGTAAAGTCACGCAACCCTGGCCCCTTACGCGTTAACTTTGATTAAACTGATGATACCCACTACCAGTGAGTTACTATCAGATATCTCGACATACGCTAGATCAATGGTCTGCTTAAAATTGCGTGCCCAGGTCAGGAATAAAATTATTTAGCATTAATTAGCATTAAAAATATCTATACTATATGGAAATATGGCTATTGATGAAGTCATAATGATGTAAATTATAATAAATACACAGTCAGATATGCATTAGAGAGATATAAATATTGATTCGGTACATATTTGTGTATGAAATACAACTATCTATTCTATCTATATATCAAAATGCACATAAACATGATAACTTATCTATTTACGCACACGATACATCAACATGATTTTCTGAAAATGAAATGAGAAATAAACTCTTTCCTTTTTGCGCCAATCGATTTCCAACTGTATCCACACGACTTCGGTTTCCGCACAACCCGATCGACTAAACGTTTTATTCTCGCCAGATCTTCCGTCCTATACCACTGGCATGCGGAATGCAGTAATTGTCTCGACCGGTATGGCACTGTTAACCAGTGCTATTTGGATCGAACCACAGAGTTGGTTACATTACATACACACCACACGGATGTTGATCATTGGTCGTCTATCCTGATTTAACCTGGTCAGGTCAACTCTTCAATTATTGATCGCTGTCTTACTCCATTCAGGATAAACTCATTATATCCTAAGTACACAATGACACTGTTTCACAAATTGCTCAGAATAATTCTATACGCCCTGACTTTTGTGTATAATATGCGTAGAATCTTATAACTGTATTTTGCATGTCCAACCTCGTGGGTTTTCTCCGGGTCCTCCGGTTTCCTCCCACTGCTAAAGCCCCCTACGCGCAAGCGAATTATTAAAATAATATTAAACCATATGTTAGTCCCAAAATGACCTAGTTTGTGTCGAGTGGACGTTAAACCCCATCTCTCTCTCTCTCTCTCTCTCTCTCTCTTATAACTGTATCAGTGTATTATAAAGCTGTCACAACAAAGATGTTAAACAAAAGGCACCAAAATAATAGTTTTCACACTTAACAACGGTAATATGATTATGTACACAAATCTGTATTTTAAGAACTTTGTACCATAAAATCCTACTTCAGGATCGCCTCAGTATTATGACCCACTGACAATAACGACCTTCTTTGAATTAACCGAATTGCCATATTATATTATTTATTACTTATGCAAGTATTTAACAGGAGTTATTAAATCTGTATATGTCAAGGAAGTGTCAATATTCATACAGTGGTTCAAACATCACATACTGTAATCTTCTTTTAGAATACAATCACTCGTGATTTTGTAAAGGACAAAGCGATAAAATTATGCTTAATATTTCCAATATTATACGATGTTTCGGCCACCAACCTTTCGATCACTTTTTGAAGAGCAAGAATGCAAGAAAAATATAAAGTTAGAATAGCCATGTGGCTTGTTCAGGTATAATTAATATACATTTGGGGTCATTTGGATAACCAACATTCAAGGTATTTTATATAATAGCATGATTTATATCAAGAGGGAAACGAGATGGTCATTCACTTTCAAAGGGCAAATGGAAATACCCGAAACTATCACTTTCAACTAACAAACTTTCAAAAACGGCCATTTTTTTAGGTTGGGGTTCAACTAATAATACCACAAACGACCGTCCTTCCAATGAGAACAGACCCTGCTCATATATGGCTAATGCACATTTTAAATATGAACTTGGCTATCAGGAACAACAACGAAAAACTGATTTTAAAGTGGTTAATTGTTTAACTAGTTTTAATGAAATAAAAAAGAAAAGATACTCTACCTTTTTCAAATCGTAAATCCAAACTAAAGAATAACAATACTTGAAATCTATTGCGTGTATGAAATTCGCTTTTCAAGCAGAAACTAGTAAGATATTTAGGGGACGTCTAGCGATAACCTTAAGATCACCGTGTTTGTGTTGGTTTAGTCCGAGTTAAAACATAACGACATAGGTATGGTACAATTAAAACCATATAAATACGATAAACAGGTTTGACACGAATATCGAAAGATAAATACAGTCATAATAATGCATGGTTACTTAACATCATTCGTTGATAAATAGGAACTTGACCTAAACAAACAACTAAAATTAAAATAACTGTACATAGATAGTGAAATAAAATGGGGTTTAACGTCCTACCTTTTTGCACTGACTGGCCTAACAAATACGGATATACACCGACCAATGACTGTGCGATGAGGGAAATGTTGCCAAGACAACGGAGCTACGCCCACTCTCATATCGAATTCTAACTGTCAAGGGTTTACGTGCACGCCAACGTGCGCTCGGCCGCTCTGTCCCTAGAGCTGTAACTATTGACGAGTGTCGTGCAGGGTATCGTTTACGATGTCAGTTATGCTTACTATCTATAGAACACGTAATACCACTTCCTATATTCTGGTACTTCCGCATTGATATGACTTCACTACATTCCGGCTAGTTTCGACTTCATAATGACATAATTTGCTCATACGTTTTTGGAACCCAAATCAACAATGTTAGCCATTCTGTCTGAATAAAAAGTTATCACAGGTTTTGTCGTACCACTAATTGAAATAATACATCAGAATAACCCAATTCAAAACATTTTATTTAATCTTAGTCCAATGGGGGATCACGGTGGCTAAGTGGGTGAGACGCTGGTCTGGAGGTCGGGTGTTCGATCCCTGCATTGGCCGAGAAAGTTCAGTGATGCATGACGGAGGGCCTGACAAGAACAGCTGTCTAGTCGTTCGGGTGGGACGAAAAACCGAGGTCCCATGTACACATTGGCGTGCACGTAAAAGATCCCTTGACAGTTGGAATTCGATATAAAAGTAGGCCGTAGTGCCGCTGTCCGGGCAAAATTTCCCTCATAGTACACTGTATGGCGTATGCCCGTCTTCGTTAGCCAGTTTTGGGCAGAACATTAGGACGTTAAACCCCATTTCATCTCATTTTCAAATTCCGATGAGATTTATCTGCTTTATAAGACGAAGTTATATTCACACTAACTAATCTAAGAAATGTATGTTTTAGAAATTATATATTTCAAAAGTCATATTATATTAGTCTTACGTATTTATCAAATAATAGGAAGCCACGGTGGCTAGGTGGTTAACACGCTGGCTCGCTACCCTGGAGGTCGGGTGTTCGATCGCTGCATTGGCCCAGAATGTTCATCTGGATTTTCCGACGTGGTTTCCCCTTGTCAGTGGTGCAGAACCGGGGGCCTGACAATGACAGCTGTCTAGTCCTTCGGATGAGACGAAAAACCGAGGTCCCGTGTATACATTGGAATGCATGTAAAAGATCACTTGGCAGTTGGAATTCGATATAAGAGTAGGCGATAGTGCCGCTGCCCGGGCAAAATTTCTCTCAAAGCACACTGTATGGCGTATGCCCGTCTTCATTAGCCCAGTATAAGAGCAGAACAGTAGGGCGTTAAACCCCATTTCATTTCATTTCATTTAACAGGTTATATTGGCATCCACAAATCATCATCTAATAGTTTTATTTATCTTGACGTTAAAGCTTGCTCAGTGTTCCTCTATTGTTTATCAAGCTGCATTCAGGTTTAAAAAATCTCGTAAGTTTTTCTCGGTCCAGGTCATGATGACAATTTAGATACGGAGGATACTGACCCAGTAAATTTGTTGATAATATTATACGAATCACAAATACTCCGCAAAACATTACTCAAATATAACATAAATTTAATTCTGAGATAGTATATTTAGAATATATGGTAATTACCTTACAACTCAGGGCAATATATGAAAGTAATATATACTTTTTATAATGACATAATTTCTCGGTCAAGGTCAAGATTACAATTTAGATACGGAGGATATAGGCCCAGTAAATTTGTTGATAATATACGAATCACAAATACTCAATAAAACATAGCCCGAACATTACTCAAATATTATATAAATTTAATTTTTAGATAGTATATTTAGAATATGTGATAATTACCGTACAACTCAGGACAATATATGAAAGTAATATATACTTTTTATAAAAGGATATATTTAAAAATCCAGTATCTACTTATACTCTGTTTATATCCACAATATGTATATTATATAATCTATACCTCGTGATCAGATTGCACAGTAAGCTATTCAAATATACTGGCATCCCGTCACTGGAGTTTGGATGAAATGGCAAGAATATGTTAGATAACATGTATATTCTTAAATTTGGATCTGGTTAGTGATAAATTCAATACACTCTTCAATGAAACACGCGTATTATTTTAACAATTGGACATTTTATGATTTTATATTTAGGGATTACGTACGGAAGAAACATTGCTCTATACATGTTTCTGGACTTCATTCTCAAAGGGATGTCCAATCCAAGAAACTTTTAAGAGTTAACAAGTATTGCTTGTTATGTATTTATATTAATAAAAGATAACCATCTGAACCGCCCTCCGCTCACCGACTCCCTTCTCCTAGGTACACTACTGCTGTCATGTAAACCACCTGAACGTTTTTAGATTGTATTTGACAAAATTACAGGGATTGCTTGGCTAGTCTTAATAATCATATGACATTCTTCTAAAAGCGTTAAACACCGTGCTGAAAATGCTATGACCAAATTTGCATTTTTTGGTCATGTAACCATATAACATTTTCATTCAGGTATCAGGCGGGAAATATGCAAATATCACCAAATTTAAAGACGTTTACCAATAAATTTCGTTTCGGTAAACAACGGACAATATTTGGGTAAAATTGGTCATTTATAGGCCGATAATCGGCTCGTCACCTTATATTATGCTACGTACCGGTCAGCATACTTTTTTTTATTCATTCTATGCAGTCATTTCTGAATAAAATAAATGGTTTTTACATTAAAACTTTATGAATATGAAATTCCGTCTAGAATTAGGTTTCGACCAACCGCACGAAAGCCATGTTTTGCACAGCATGATGAATTTGCATAGGCCTTTTAAGTGCAACAAAAACTAAACAATATGGAAAATCACGTGATTTCTTTCTACTAATCGTTACAAATCGGTTTAAAATTTTACAGGATAAATGACAAGAATTAGTCAAAAGACACGTAACCGACAAAGGGTATTTGTCTGTAACTATAAACGGTTTAAAATGTAAAATCTTTATACTGAAAAATATCATTGCCGCGTTAACAAGCGTCTGCAAGATACGCAAATTTATACGACAAACGACACAAATTATTACGGACAAAAGTATTTGCTTAATTTCAAAAAGGCAAATGAAATGCAAAATCCTTACACTGTAAATTAGCATTGTCCCGTTGATACGGTTCTATAATATATATTCAAGGGTAATAACACTAGAAGTACTTATTATAAATAAAATTGTTGTTCATATCAGTAATCGAAAGGCAGGGCAGAAATTCGATGTAGACGAAATTGAGGCTTTTGTACTCAAGTAAATGTTAACAATTAGGGTGCCTTGTTTCATTATTTTGCACAAAGGATAAAGATTGTAAGCAGATATTGTGATCTAGAGCTCCACAGGATGATACAAATGAACAGGGACAAGAATGCTTGTATATTAACTAATGGGAACTGTAAGGTAATTAACATCATAGGTTTCTTGGTTTTACTAATCGTTTAAATTCCAGTCCGATTTAATACTTTTCGATTGAGCGTCCACAAACTTCTACAAAGTAATTGCCACCCTACCCCATCTCAATTTTTATATAAAGTGTATTGTACAAATAATGTTTATACATAGAAATAGATTCTTACAATTCTGATCGAGGTTTATGATTTAAACATATTTTATTGATCATAAATCATAAAAGGGATGAGCGACAAGGGAATTCACTTACAAAGCTCCTCTATCTACTAATACATGATAATAATACATCATTATTAAAACACTATACATGCAATATATACCAGTTTATATTATTCTGTTATATTCATAACTATATTTTATATTCTAACTATACTTCTATAATTATAGCTACACATTTGATAATTATAGCTACAATTTTATATTTATAACTGCAATTTTATTATTTATAACTTCAATTTTGTTATTTATAGCTACAACTTCAATTACCATAATTACAGTTTTAACAATTATAACTACAATTTAAACAATTATAACTTCAATTTTAATAATTATAATTGCGATTTTAATTATAATTAAATTTATATTTATAAAATTACCAAAAATTTAAAATCATAATTGACTTGTGCATGGATATTTATATTCACGTTTTATCTTTCTAATCATAATGCCTGTTTATTTTCTACATTTAAACTACACTATTTCCAATATAATCGTTACAATCTACTATTTACAATCTAAACTATATACAAATTCTGCTACCTCTTTATATTTAATATATATATAAAATATTGGTATTAGGTAAATCTGTTGCTTAATTTTATAAATGTTTACATTGATTTAAATATGGAGACGTTTGCGTTTGCTTTATATTGATCTGATTTAATTTCGCTAACGATTCTGTGCTGTGTTTAGTACGGAACTTTGGTCATTTTATATTGATCTGATCTAATTTCGCTAACGATTTTGATTAGTACGAAGCTTTGGTCATTGGTGGTGTTCGCTGGGATTCAAGAGAGGCCACCTGGAATTGGGCAAGGTTGCCCATGTATTTTGGTAAGTAGATTGACTGACTAAACATTCAAATTTTGACATCAGCCTACCTAAGTAAAATTTAGCAATGTGACACACATTAAAGAAATCAACCGCAATCAGTGTGTTTTTATATAATGTATAATGAGAGGAATATAAAGGTAAAAGAGAATGTAAATCGGCATTCCTCGAAAAATTCATACTTCAGCTGAGATAATTCGATCAGGGTTCGTTTATTTCCCGCGTATATTTTTTATTCTGCTGTAAAAAATTAGAACTATCGAACATTTCACAACGAAATAAGGATAATGCGGCCGAGATTTATTTCCCATGTATATGTTTATTCTGATGTAAAAAAAAATAGAACTATCGGACAGGACATTTTACAACGAAATGAAGAAATTCGTCTTTAATAAAGTATAAATATATATTTAATTCATGCATAACAAAATACATACATTACTATATGTTTAGCCAATATAAGAACATATATTATATAATAAGTATAAGTCTTAAGGAACAGTGTGGATTTTTTAGGAAATAGAAAGAAGAGTTATTTTACCGTAAGTTTCTATAATTATAACTCCAAACTAAAGTAGACGAAACTATTGGGTATGAATCTCTTTTCAAGTAGAAACTGATAAAATATGTGAACGATGAACGTCTATACGTGTCTATTGGATTAGCCCGGATTAAAACATAACGATGCAGATTTGGTATGATTAAAAGTAGCTTTACTTCATCCTTTGAAAAATAGAGATGACACGTACACCTTAACGAAAAATAAAATATACATTTATCTGTAATAGCGGGTGTCGAGTATGAGTATGCTCATGTCGAACAGAACACATGATATGCTCGCTCTTTCTGGAATACATAATGTACCACTGTACTGATGTTTTCGAACATTCCAGTTCGTAATATCACGATTATAGATAGAGGACCAATCTTTGACGGTTCACGTTGGTAACTATAGGATTGGACTTTGGACGGGGACACCCGATCAAATATATGTTGTGCCATATATCTATTATACGGCTTTCAAATCTATTTTACTCTCATGAAATTTCCAAAAATGTGTCTTTTAGATTGGAATTGCAATAGGATAAGGAAAGTAGTATTTACTGAAATACTAAGAAGAAATTTTAATTCGTGTGTTCTTTCTTAAGACTTCTATTACAATTTTGTATTTTTAGCTTTCGAATTAGTTTAGAATGAAACACCGAGAGTGGTGAGAGATATTGAAGAAACGTCCAAAATAATAATTCGATAACAAATGATTATCTAAGAAGGGTAATTCTTAATAAGTGAAGCAGGAGTCAGACACCCCCCCCCCCCCCCAGTCAGCGTTTGGTTGCAACAGGAATCTCTTATATATTTTGTTTATTTCTCATCTTCGTCAAAAGAATATCTAAATTTTAATTTTGATCCAGCCATTTTCTCACTGTAGATTCGATCAAACCATTCATTTTGGGCTACAGTAAACCAGTTCTTCCAGTCACCAACTTCACCTGTAATATGTTAGAAAACAGATACTTGTAGTTGTATGGCAGATGAGAATTATACCCGCACCTGGATGCATGTAAGATAACCAGTGTTCGACTTACAAATTCGATACAAGACAAAATAACTGTTAGTGAGTGGTGTGTCCTCAAATCATCTGAAGTTCCACAACACAAACATATGTCCGTTTCTTTAATCACAAAATAACTCCTCGGGCTGGTTATAATTATAGACTGTATATCAGATTCACTGTTAAATTCAAATGTGTGTGCAGTTAGAATATAAAACGAAACGAAGATTTATAAAAAAAAATACTTTATATTGCCCTAATATTTTGACTTAAACTTATACAAAGAAATACTTTAAAGTTGCAATTGCAAATTTTTAAGTTATATTTTTAAAATGTATTAAAATAAAGCCTTAATATAGATGGTATCCATAAACAGTCCTAACTTGTTAAAGAATAATCCTATTAATCCTATAATTTGCTATTGGCAGCTGAGAAATTGGCAAAAATATCATTTTTAACTTCAAATTCCAACGTTGGAAAATGGCTGCCCCATGTTGTCAATAGCAAAACAGGGGAGGTAATTGTGTTGTTATTTCCTGTGTCATAGATTTTTAAGGGTGGGAAATAATGGCCAGGATCGTGTAATAGTGATTTGATAACCTATTGAGCAAAAGACATAGAAATAATTATGTTTTGACTTTCTTATAAAATTTGCAATTCTCGCTTTAATAAACCAGAACAACGTTTGAACTTTGTTCATTAAGACCGGGCGAGGTTTCATTTTAATTACATATCTACTCAGGGAGTGTTATTGGGTCAGATTTAGAAAAGTATATTTTAGCCTGCCTACCTTTTCTATATATATTAGATTGACCACTTCCATCAGCCATTATATGACCTTTCCTTTGTTGCATTTTAGAGAAGGAACACGCATCACATATTTCTTTGATAAATTCTTCATTTCTTTTAACTTGTAAAAAATCTGATATTTTTCTGATTTCTGCTATTGGATCCTGTAATTATAAAAACCCCAGTGAATATTAGGTTATTAATCATGTACTGCATATTAAATAATAATACAGCAACAATCATTTGACTTGTAGGTATCTTAAAAACTGTAACAGAAAACACAAATTGAATTGCTCATTACTATACTTGAAAGTGGGTACTGGTTGTATGAGTTACTTAAAGTTGTTTTATAAAATTTTACCGCTTTGAGATCTTCATATGTCAAATCTAATATAGAATACTCCGTGTTGTTATCAATGACCTTCTCCCAATCTAAAACTTTGTCAAACCAAGAATTATAGTCAACTGTAAACAAAAGAAAACACTTAAATCTAATGATACCATAACTTGGTTCTCCATTACTACCTACGCTGTTGGCCAAACTCAATATTTGATTGGTTCCAAATTTAAGCAATTTTATCTCTAGAATTTCGATTCAAATTTGACCATAAATATAATATTCAGAGATTAATTTCAAAACGGATCCAGATTTAGGTTTGTTAGGATTCCTTTCATTCAGACCGAGAGAGAGAGAGAGAGAGAGAGAGAGAGAGAGAGAGGGAGGGTTTAGCGGCCACTCGACACAAACTAGGTCATTTCGGGACTAACATATGGTTTAATTTTATTTCAATAATTCGCTTGTGCGTAGGGGTCTTTAGCAGAGGGAGGAAACCGGAGGACCTGGAGAAAGCCCACACGGATGGACAGGCGACCCCACTCCTTGCCACGTACAACCGGATAATCAAAACCACGCCAGTTGACTCAATGACAGACTTTATGATACAGCGCGCATACGCTCACCATTCAACCATCCAACCCCCAAACCCAAAAAGACATTGTTTTATAAACTGTTAACATGGTGTTTTAGTCTCTCGGTCATCTAGTGGTACTACAACTTTAGATTTGTCGGTATTACTTCAGTCAGCCTTAATAGCTAGGTTGCTCAAGAGGGAATATCGCCACCCGAGGGGAGAATTTAAGAGGCCCTCCTCCCCTGCCCCACACGCAAAACAAACCAACTATCTAAGAGCAACCTATATATACGTATTTAGAGATTTAAAGGGCTGTAATTTGGTTATAAACTTTATGACATTTGCACCTCATTGGACCCATCCGTGGTTTTCCCTTGTCATTAATGCTGGACGGAGGGCCTGGCAAGGACAGCTGTCTAGTCGTTCGGAAATGAAATGAAATGAAATGGGGTTTAACGTCCTACTGTTCTGGTCCTAAACTGGGCTAATGAAGACGGACATACGCCATACAGTGTGCTATGAGGGAAATTGTGCCCGGGAAGCGGCACTACGGCCTACTCTTAAATCGATTTCCAACTGCCAAGGGACCTTTTACGTTCACGCCAATGTGTACACGGGACCTTGGTTTTTCGTCTCATCCGAACGACTAGACAACTGTCCTTGTCAGGCCCTCCGTCCTGCATCATTGACAAGGGGGAACCACGCCCGAAAACCTGGATGAACTTTCTCGGCCAATACAGGGATCGAACACCCGACCCCCAGGCTAGCGAGCCAGAGTCTTACCCACTTAGCCATGTGATCCCCCTAGTTGTTCGGATGGCACGAAAACCCGAGGTCTCGTGTACACATTGACGTGAACGTTAGAGATCCCTTGGCAGTTATAATTTGATACAAAAGTAGGCCGTAGCGCCGCTGTCCGGGCAAAATTACCCTAATAGCACACGGTATGGTGTAAACCCGTATTCATTAGCCAGGTTGGAGTAGAACAACACAGTGTGAAGTTAGCTCAATTTTCGTTTTTCGATATTGGTGAATAACGAAAAACGAGCTACTCGTTATTCGATATTGGCGAATAACGAAAAACAACTAGCTCGTTTTTCGATATTGGCGAATGTCGAAAAACGAGCCACTCGTTTTTCGATATTCAAACTTGAATCTCAAAAAAGTAGATTTAATGGAAGTACATCGACAGAATGTCTCCAAAACACATTTGATTAAATCAGTTTTGTAAAACGAACTAAATATATCGTAATAGAGGATGCCTGAGCAGTGTATTCACATAAAAACTGCTCTTTCTCCTTGTTTTTGATATTGGCGAATCTCGAAAAACGAGTTACTCGTTTTTCGATATTCAGGCTTGAAGGTCAAAAATACAAATTTTAATCATGTATATCTACAGAATGTCTCCAAAACACATTTGATTATATAAGTATTCTAAAACGAACTAAAAATATCATAAATTAGGATGCCTGAGCAGTGGATTCACATAAAACTGCTCTTTCTCCTTGTTTTTTTTTTATATTGGCGAATCTCGAAAAACGAGCTACTCGTTTTTCGATATTCAAACTTGAATCTCAAAAAAGTAGATTTAATGGATGTACATCGATAGAATGTCTTCAAAGCACATTTGATTAAATCAGTTTTGTAAAACGAACTAAAGATATCATTAATGAGGATGATATCTTTAGTTCGTTTTAGAAAACGTATTTAATCAAATGTGTTTTGGAGAAATTCTGTAGATAAACAACCATCAAATCTGCTTTTTTGAGATTCAGTTTGAATATCGAAAAACGAATAGCTCGTTTTTCGAGATTCGCCAATATCAAAAACAAGGAGAAATATCAATTTTATGTGAATCCACTGCTCAGGCATCCTCATTTATGATATTTTTAGTTCGTTTTAGAAAACGTATTTAACCAAATGTGTTTTGGAGAAATTCTGTAGATATACAACCATCAAATCTACTTTTTTGAGATTAAAGTTTGAATATCGAAAAACGAGTAGCTCGTTTTTCTAGATTCGCCAATATAAAAAAACAAGGAGAAAGAGCAGTTTTTTTGTGAATACACTGCTCAGTCATCCTCTATTACGATATATTTAGTTCGTTTTACAAAACTGATTAAATCAAATGTGTTTTGGAGATATTCTGTCGATGTACATCCATTAAATCTACTTTTTTGAGATTCAAGTTTGAATATCGAAAAACGAGTGGCTCGTTTTTCGACATTCGCCAATATTGAAAAACGAGCTAGTTGTTTTTCGTTATTCGCCAATATCGAAAAACGAGTAGCTCGTTTTTCGTTTTTCACCAATATCGAAAAACGAAGAACGAAAATCGAACTAACTTCACACTGCCAACACATCCACATATCTCGGAACCCAAAGAACAAACTATCCTAGAAAATCTCGGTCTAATAAATTTCCCGGTCGCTTGGCGATACTCCCCCTTGAGCCACCGGAATATACCTGAGATTGCTGTAGTATTTTTAACACGGTGTTTTAGTCGATCATCTCTCCCCTATTTTCAGAATATGGCTAAATATAGATTGCATTTTTTATTTTTGTCATTAATGAAAATATTCGCACCTTTTCCGTTAACAAACAATTCCAGATAATCTTTGAATTCTCCGTTATAATCATAAAACTCTTTCAGTTTATAAGAATGGTTGTAGAACGAGACGGCAACATCCTTCGGGTTTCTTCTAATATAGATTATCTTGGGTTTCTTCACAGCCAGATCAGTTGGTAAGTCGCTAAAAGCAACATGACTGTTCAGAACACGTGGAGATTCGATTTGATCTAATACATCCTGTGCCACCAATTCAATCATCAGATTAAGTTTAGAAATGACTTCTACATCAAGTCGACCCGCCAGTAACATTCGACATATTTCAAACAGCCAGTGTGTTCCTGAAAATATCGAAATTATCAGACTTGGGCACTACGATAATTATTAAGCAATCAGAAATATTGATCATAACATCGGGCTGACTGAAAAGTTCTTATTCTGAAAAGGATAGATCAATTGGGTTGAAACAAAATTTTGCCACCAAACAAGCGCAATCATGGAATGAATCACAGACATAAAAACTCCAACTGTAGTGTTATTATTATGTTTCTTCATACCGGATCATCGTGTGAACCTACCCATTGAAATCATCAGAAATAGACAGAACTGAATATAGGGCAGTCATCAAGTATCTGCAACTGAGAGGACTAAGTATTTCTTTCAAAATGACTGCCAAATTTTAAAAAAAACCAATAAAAATGAAAAACAAAACCCCCATTAATTTGGTAATAAAAGGGCAGTGATAATCTCAAAAATTTAATTTCGAGAATTCTTGATGGTAGAAATTCAAAATGACCAGCAAAATGAAATCCAACATGTGGTATATTTAATCCCGAAATGAATATATTGTTAACGCGCTTTAAAGAAAAGCTCATTCAAAATGCAAAACCAGCTACGTGCAGTTTGGAACCGTTACCATCATGCCCCCCCCCCCCCCCCCTTGTTGGGTGTGTTTCATTCAGACTGGAAAAGAGCTATCATAAAACCGCTTTTAAAGAAGAAAAATTTAGACCACATCAAAAAGAACTACCGTCCAGTTAGCAACCTTTCCTTATTGTCCAAACTGGTTGAAAAGGCTTCTCTAATCAGCTTTACTAAGCACGTCTCCTACCATCATACCAGAGCGCATATCGTAAAAACTATAGTACAGATACATTAATCCTTAAAATATACAACGACATCTTACACAATATGGAACATTAATTATTATCCCCTTTTGTTGCCATAGATCTTAGTGCCACGTTTGATACCGTGAACCATGAACTGCTGCTTGAAATCCTTTCAAAATGCTTTGGCGTTTGTGAAACCGCACACAAATGGTATCTCTCTGGTAGAAGCTTTAATGTTAACATCAACCAAACTAACTCGACACCAGTCGATATAAATTTTGCTGTTCCTCAAGGTAGTATAAACGATCTAGTTTTCTTCACATGTTATTCTTGCACAATTGCAGTACAGTGTTAAGGATGACCTTAATCTCAATGGGTATGCCGATGATCATAACATCTACGATAGTTTTAAAGCTGGCGATATTACATCGGAAATGGAAACGATTTCGCGTTTGTCTTCCACGATGGATGACATTAAACATTGGATGCTTAGCAACCGGCTTAAAATGAATGATGATAAATCAGAATTTATAGTTTTTGGTAGTAACAGAACTCTACATAAATGTACAACAACAGAGAGACCTTGATAGAAATTCTCGTTTAAAACTTGCTAATGCTCTGGGGTTTTTTTTCGCATCTGGACTACTGCAATAACCGTTCTGTCAATTTGCCAAAAAATACCTTGTTACCGCTTTAAAGAATACAAAACCTCACAACAAAAATGACCCTCGGACACTCAAAATATTCAAGTTCCACAGATGCTCTGAAAGAACTTCATTTTTTGCCTATACATGCTCGTGCAGAATATAAACTATTGCTTCTAGTATATAAGTGCTTAAATAACCTTGCTCCCCAGTACTTGATAGATTTACTTAAACCCAATCCCAACCGATATTCGACACGATTTTCAAACAGTCAGTCACTATACCTTCCAGCTACAAAAAGAAAATCATTTGCGGACAAGTCTTTCACTGTTGCCGGTCCACGGTTATGGAATGATCTACCCGACAGCTTAAAAAACTCTAACTCTCAGGATAGTTTTAAGAAATCACTTAAAACGTAATCTTTTCCAAGGGACCTTCAAGAATTAATTAATTATTAATATACTATATTTTATATTCTTGTACATACTAAATTATTTATTTTAATTGTACAGTGCCATTGAATGCATGTATTGCAGTAATGAGCGCTATATTAAATGCAATAAATTTAAACTTAAACTTAAACATCTAGATGCAATAGACCTGGTGTAGAAAATTCAATGTACATTGAAATGTTGGCAATAGAGATCCAATCATAGTTTAACTTGAATGTAGATATTATATATTTATGTTGCATATATAGGACCTTTCGGTTGAATCATATCATAGAAATATCTAATTTTACGTATGTGACAACATTAAGGTGTACGTGTTCTAATGTTTCATTTAGCCTATGCATTTTCTTGTTTCACTTGACTAAACAAAACATTTTGTAGGAATGTAAGCTGTTATAGATTGAACAAAAAGCTGATAAATGTTGAGATGTGTGGAACATGCTCGAGGCAACTTGTAACAAATCGTAGGCACGATATATATTTGATACTAGTTAAGCATCAGAACATGATTATTTCATTGGAAATGGGGCGCAAATACCCAAAGGAGTCGGAAAAACTCTAAAGCAACTGCGTCTCCTTCACTGGGCCCCTTTAATGTCTGTCTACCTGTGGAATAACATGTACATTATTTGTATCTGTTAAATTTGTACGGTTTTATTAGTTTAATATATTATTTACTCATGGGCCGGGAGTGATAACGTCTTACCCCAAACAAATTGCAAAAGACACCAGGAAATTTCGGAGAGCGATATCTCGTATCATTCGGAGAGCGATATCTCGTATCACATGTCACTGATGAAACATATGCCCGAAACAAATGCCACGCTAGACACCTTTTTTTAAAAAAAAAAATTACACTGATTTTAAGTTACACTGATTTGAAACATATGCCCGAAACACATGCCACGCTAGACACCTTTTTTTAAAAAAAAAATTACACTGATTTGAAATGTTTTATACATTAGTCAATTTAAAGAAATTTCTATTTTCGAAAAATTGTAGTGTGTATAAGATGCCCTTTGACAAATGTTTTGCTTTGTGGGGAATGGGGGTAGGCGGTGTTGAGGGTCCAAAATGTCGATTTGGGTACAAAAGCACATTGTGTTCGAAACTGGTCTTTACAACATTTTATTTGGACATTTGCTGTTTCCATTGATAGTTGTTAAAACAATTTCCAATTATCGAGCATGGAGAACCTGTCAGTGGGATTAAATTTGGCAAAAATCCACAGTTCAACATAATCATATTGAAGTATACTATTATATACCATTGGTTACCGAATTAAATCATATGAAAAAAAACGTCTATTCTGCCTTATTGCAATACGATAATTGATTTATTACGAACATTTTAAGGCTGTGAAAAGAAAGGATTCAATACAATTATGTTTAAGGAAAGGTGGTGAAAGATGTTTTTGCCACCAAGAATCCAAGCAGTTTTCTAAGTCAACTAAGTGGCATCATATACACTTACTTAGAGATGTACCGTGCTAGAAATTTTATACTTTACTAATTGATCTATAAGTTGATCTTATTGTATATAGAGAATCTCCTACGAGTCTTTTTTGATATCAGTACCACCACAGGAGACATGAATGACCACTGCCAGACAGTTTGTGCGGTGGGTTACCCCTAACAGACACGCCCCAAAATGCCACGCCCCCAACTAAGCTAGCTTCGCAGGCACTGTTCCCGTGTTCTAAAAAATTAGATTTTTAGCTAGAATGCGTAGGATACTAATACCTAGCACGTGTGGAAGAGGCGATAAACTGCGATTGCAAGAAATTGATTTTTGGGCAAAAAAACATTTTATAGGGCTAAAAATGCGTTTTTGAAAAATAAAATTATTCCTACAACCGCAGTTTATCGCCTCTTCCATATGTGCTAGGTATTAGTATTCTACGCATCCTGGCACAATTTTTAATTTTTTGGACCACAGGAACAGTGCCGACTGCCAGAAACCCGGCAGACTTACATTCTGATGATACCAGATATACATACATTGATACCATATAGGAGAAAATTGGTACACTTTTCAGCTAGGTTAACCCCCTGGGCTCCTGCTCTATAAACTAAACTACTGACCTGATTTAGAATAGGCAGAAATAATGACGTCATCTTCGCGTAGTTTTAGCGATTTCATGTTGGTTATTGATTCTATTGGAAAGTTGGGATAAAGTTTTCCATTAAATTCAACCAATCTGAGATGATTACCTGCACCATCGGGTATCTCGACAACCGACATCTTGAACTAACTAAAACAGAGAGAGATAGCGAGATAGGATTTAACGTCCACTCGACACAAACCATGGCATTTCGGGACTAACACATGATTCAATTTTATTTCAATAATTCGCTTGTGCGTAGGGGTCTTTAGCAGTGGGAGGAAACTGGAAGACCCAGAGAGAATCAACGAGGTTGGACAGGCGACCCAACTCCTTGTCACGTACAACCGGTCAATCGAAACCACGCCAGTTTACTCAATGGCAGACCTTCTGATACAGCGCCCACTAAACATTCGCCCCCCCCCCCTCCTATCTGCTCCCTCTATCTAAAACAAAGACAGGTCTTAATATTTTCTGTATTTGTATAATAACAAACCCAGCCCCGTTGATCGAAATCTACACATATATGATAAATTAGTGAAATATAATTATGTAGTATTACCAGACTTATAAGTAGTATAAGTTGTGTTGAAAAGACTAAGCATGACCTACCTTACGTGTGCCACCCGCCAATACTTTAATAAAACAAAATTGACTTACCTCTCTTGATTATACCCGCTCTTTCACTGCAACAAATGATATATAATGATATAGGCTACACATTCAGATATCAACCGCTTTAATCGGGCTACAGCAAACACTCCAACTATTATGTCACTTTGACACATCTAATATATGGATTGTTTATTTTACTGCAGCTGAACGTCATCAACCTTGAACTTTACACGTACAGATTACATAACACACATATATAAATAACACCGTATATAGATGGACAGGCAACTAGTCCGGTTGGTTAGTTTCTCTGCCGCTCGGATGGGACGAAAAACCGAGGTCCCGTGTTCACATTGGCGTGCACGTAAAAGATCCCTTGACAGCTGGAATTCGATATAAGATTAGAATTTACGGTATTCTTATAGTTACTTGTTAATTTTTCAACCCGAAAATTTCCATATGCAGCAGTTGACAAATGTGAAATGATCGATTTCAATATTTCGTAGATTTTGTAAGCATTTTTGGTTTTGCTTTATACTCCAAATTCCCGCATGTATGAAGGATTTTAAAATTCTGAAAATAAAGTTCAGGTAAAATACTGTCCGGAATGATGATTAATTGAGCAGAAGTAAAAATTAAAAGAGTGTTTTAGTAGGTTTGTTTTTAACGAAAACTTGACATGTTTTTTTTTCGGATTCACATGAGCTCGCCGAAATAAACAAAGACGATGTGTTGATACATTTACACCCCAATCATCAGTTAGTAGTCTATCTATGTATGGGTTGCAACAAAAAAAAAGTAGCAAGATTAATGAAAATTTTATGTATTGATTTCTGTTTCTTTGCTTTTAAACGTAAAACTGGTAATTGCGCTAGTGGCGGTAATTTTATTTTAGTCACGATTGTCCGGTCTGTTTTTTTGCTGCAGTACAGACTTCAAAAGGCTCCGTGGACGTTGCCTGTCCATCTATACAACTACAGGTTAGTTGTTCTTACAACTTTATTGTAAAACTGGCTGGCTTCGAAGGTCACCTGGGAGCCACGGTGGCTACATTGTTAAGACGCTGTCTCGCTAGCCTGGAGGTCGGGTGTTCGATCCCTGCATTGGCCGAGAAAGTTCATCCAGATTTTCCGACGTGGTTTCCGCTTGTCAGTGGTGCAGAACGGAGGGCCTGACAAGGACAGCTGTCTAGTCCTTCGGATGAGACGAAAAACCGAGGTCCCGTGTATATATTGGAATGCACGTAAAAGATGCCCTGGCAGTTGGAATTCGATATAAGAGTAGGCGATAGTTCCGCTGCCCGGGCAAAATTTCTCTCATAGCACACTGTATGGCGTTTGCCCGTCTTCATTAGCCCAGTATAGGAGCAGAACAGTAGGACGTTAAACCCCATTTCATTTCGAAGGTCACTCGTTCTCAATAAAGCATAGATGATATCTGCTCTGAATAGCTAACCAATTTGAATAAACACCCCCATTCTCCCAAAACCAGGGGGAGAACATTGCCTTATTTGGTCATCAACCACATGTCATAACAGATAGTTTTTTATATATATACACATGTCGTTCATTTTCATTAGTACGTGGGATTTGGCTCTATAGAAAGTGTTAACCAATAATTCGTTAAAGATACAATATGAGCTTAAGGACCAACTTTATACAATTCATGGGTGCGTGAAAACTCTTTGGTTAATGGAAAACGAAATAAAATGGGGTTTAACGTCCTACGTTTCTCCTCTGACTGGGCTACTGAAGAAAGGCATACGCAATACAGTGTGCTATGAGAGAAAATTTGCCCTGACAGCTGAGCTACGGCATACTCTTATATCGAATTTCAATTGCCAAGGGATCTTTTACGTGGACGCCAATGTGTACACGGGACCTCGGTTTTTCACCCTACCCGCACTACTGTCTTTGTCAGGCTCTCAGTCCTGCTTCATTATTCTGGTAAAATATTCTGTGGGACGTCTAACGATGGCCTTAAATGGCCCTAATTTATTATCTTTAGTCTAGATCGGATATCACAACGTGAAGGAGAGTCGGTGGCTTTGATCTCGCTATAACTCCATACCTCTTATCAAGAAGTATCTTCAATAGAAGGCTTGGCCTCGCTTTAACGCCGTACATCTTATCAAGCCCGTCACGTAATACCCCACATTTTTCGCCACTAATTTTGACTGGTTACTGACTCAACTGGGGACCTCTTAGGTTCCTCGATAGAAAATATTATCGCGAATACCAAGTCGTGCGCTTTCAAACTGAAATGTCTAGCTTTGATAATCGAGTTGCAAAGTTCAAGGTTCGTTCAATTTCAAGGTTGCTCGAACTTTTTACTTGTCGGCAATGATTATGCTATGACACACTTCACATTTTAGTCCAAACCTGTCGAATTCACTTTTTGTTCTTCCATTATGCTAGTATGATCGCTTTCGTTAGTCTTCCGTAAGTTTTCTTTTTAACTAAAAACGCTGTAAACGCATCTGGTCCTTTATGTGCTTATATCAAGTGTCTGTGTCTGGTAAAGGGAGATAACGTACCTAAACGTACTAGCAACGGTTAGATACTGTATAACTCACAGTCGTTGCCTCAGGAACACGGAGTTCGCCACGGCTCACTTGTGACAACCCTTGATGCTTAAGGTGAAATGGCAGTTGGGACCTGTCGTCCTACTGTCATACACTGCACAACATTGATATGGAAGACCAAACAGCTCTTTATTAAGTGTTCTTAATTCTTAGTTCATAGTTCTTAAATCTTATTTCTTCATTTGTAATCGTATTTCGACATTAAAATTATCATTTACATCTTAAAATCAATATTTGTTTTACAAATCAGGCATTTGTCATATCAGATTTGTAAAATGTATTTTAATTGTATTTTAATATAAAGATAAAATTTATTTTAGAAAATCAAAAATTAGCCTACGTTTACATTCATCAGAGAAATACACACCTTTCCTTTCCTCATTTTTGCGCCTTTTGTATGGTATTTTGGATAGCATCGAAGAAGCGTGTTTCAATTTACATTGTCTGTCAGGTTTTGGTAAATATTCATGGCTTTGAAGCGGACGGATCAAGAGGTAAAGAGACACGAACTCGGGAATCACCTATTTTATTTTTTAAAAAAAATACAAAAAAAAACGACAAAAAAAAACCCCAATCATCCCCCATTCAATAGGCCTTTTTCTATTCACTAATTTGAAGACTGCTTATACATTTCAGACCGATCGGATGATAACTTTTGTCATTACAGTGTACCTAAGAGTCTACTAAGTGAAACTAGGGCCATAACTCTAGAAATAATTCAAGGAAATTTTTCGAAGTCAATGCATTTTCTCAGTTTCACCAATTTGAGTACAACATATAGCGTTCATATGCTTCTACCACCAATAAAGGGCAATACGCGTATTACGTGAAACAAGGGCCATAACTCTAGAAATAATTCAAGGAAATTTTTCGAAGTCAATGCATTTTCTCAGTTTCACCAATTTGAGTACTACATATAGCGTTCATCTGCTTCTACCACCAATAAAGGGCAATACGCGTATTAAGCTTCGTCGTCTCACTATAATGTAGGCCTAAACAACATTTAAACATTTAAAAAAGGCATTGATAAATGTAGTATGTTGAGTGTTGACAAGACATTGTGACAAAAGGATCGACGTCGGCGAAGGCAATATCCAACGACATTTCCGTGTGGGCATTTAGAAACAAAAAATGTAATGAACGTCACTGTCAATGGCTGGAGAGACGTTTTCCGGTCTTCCCGGATAAGAAAGATAACTCTAATTGGAAGCAGACCACCATTAATTTCCCCATTGACTTTAATGTTAATTCTGGCCTCTTTGTCCACCTCCAACTTTTCCCCAAATTTTCGTTGGGCTGAATGCTTCTCACTACAGAGAGAGAGAGAGAGAGATGGGGTTTAACGTCCACTTGACACAAACTAGGTCATTTCGGGACTAACATATGGTTTAATTTTATTTCATTAATTCGCTTGCGCGTAGGGGTCTTTAGCAGTGGGAGGAAACCAGAGGACCCGGAGAAAACCCACGAGGTTGGACAGGCGACCCTACTCCTTTTCGTCCATTCTAGACCAAAAAATCAACAAAATGGGCATGCAAACAGGAAGAAAAGAGACAGGGAGAGAATTGCTATAAATAGACGAGTGGAATTTAATGGTGATCTGCCTTCAATTCGCTAATATTTGGGACCTAGAAATTGACACAGATGGGTCGCAACGCATATAATACTGTAATATGAATGTATATAAACTGATTTACATTCAATCGTTTCAGGTTTTACTGTAATTCCAAATCAGTTATGTTCGGCGAAATGGTAAAATGTTTATTTTGTCTTAAATATTGGATACCATGGCCCAGTTTCACGAAATTTTAACTAAAGATAAAATCCAAATTTTAGTAGATACTTCAATTTTGATTGGCTAAGCACTAAAATCAATCTAATATTATCCAATCAAATTACTAAAATTTGGATTTTATCTTAGTTAAAACTTCGTGAAACAGGCCCCAGAAGCCCATAATTTCTCGGCAAGATCACAACATCAATGTTGATTTAAATTGATAAATAGTTCGTGTTTCCAATGTCGAAAATTGTGGATGATATTGAGTTAAAGACTTAGCTACTTTAATAGGTTTTATAATTTACGTTAAGAACACCCCTCTCTGTCTATGTTTTGTTTTTAGGTTTTTTTGTTTGTTTATTTCTCATCTTCTTCTTTAGAATATCTAAATTCTTAATTTTGATGTAGCCATTTTCTCGCGGTAGACTCGATCAAACCTTTCAATTTAGGCTATAGTAAACCAATTTTTCCATGGTAGTCACCATCTTCATCAATACATCATATCCCAAATTTAAATCATTTCATAAATAAATGTCAAAAAGTGAAACTGATCAAAAGCTACTCTTCTCGGTGATTAATAACCTTGAATCTGATCCAGGTTGTTTTGTTTGCGCTTTAGTTGAGACTCCTTAAATGTATCGCTTTATGTATGCATTAATAGCACGCAATAAATATATACATCGTGATTATTCATATTCTTTTAATTGTTTAGTACACAAATTTATTGATTATTGAAACACATTACAACTAATGTAGTGATTAATCTGCTTCGCTTACACAATTCTAACAACATCTGCTAAAATTATGCCTGTAAAATTATTATTTGTAGTTCATTGTGTTCGTGTAAATGGTAAATTTTTATTGGGAAACTTTCCAAAATCTAAGTTTTTATTGCAAAATATATGTGTTTTTCATAACCTATCATGCAATTATTTTTGCTGTTTAAGGTGTCCAAGTAGATTTCTATATTCAGACATATTTAAGGTGTGGATAAAGAATTAGTTTAAAATAGTTTAATGATATTACGACCTATTGAAGTTGTGCACAAATAAATACATAAAGTATGGATCATAATATGAAGGATAATAAAATATCACACAAGTGCAATTCTTGCGTATTTTCTTGAATTCTCGTTGTTGACTAAATAAAGACAGGAAACGTTGGTTGTTAATAATACTATATTCTTATATTAACAAATAATCAACATAAATTACAGCAGACAATTAATGTAACAAATATTGGTTCAATGCTTAATAGTGGATAAGCTCCACTATAAATATGAGAATTGACATAAACTTGTGTCTCCAAATACAGGTAAATAAGTTCTGTTAGACATGCAGCTCAAATTTCTAGCGTGAAGTGTTTCTAAGCAAGCTAGACATTTTGGCTGCAGGCCTATACGATCTAACTTGATCTCCCAATGACACGTTTGTAGCAAGGTTTTCTCTTAACTGACTCACTTGGGTCTATCCCCGTGGTACCCCCCCCCCATTTCGATTACATCCCATTTCCACTACACCCTGTTATAATCTGTTGTTATAAGCTGTAGTTGAAATGGGATGTAGTCGAAATTGAAGGGTACCAAATTTGTGGGGAATGGTGGGGGTGGGTGGGGGTGGGTAATAAGGGTGTATTAAGGTCCATTAAAATATAGTTTACTGAATTAGGTAATACTGTGAGGATTATCACGACGTATTAAACATTTACTATTGGGTCGAAATTCACCCTACTACAATATGATTTATCTTTCTGTAGTCAGCTTAAGCGAATAATCATTGATATATATTCTTCAACATGTTGTTCGGATAGATGATTACGAATAAAACGACAATACCCTGTGAATACAATTCTTTATGAACTGACAGCCATAAGCGACATAACAATTTTTGGTGTTGTTTCGTAGAGATTATGCAGATGCAGGGACGGGTCTAGGATTTACAGCAAAGGGAGAGGAGGAGAGGGGTGGGGGATGAGGGCGCTGTAGATGCCATTTCTGACTGTTTTCACTTCCTCTGGATCCGCGCCTGGCATGTAGGGTTGAAGGTTTATGGTATGATTCACAATATTTAGCTATTGAATTTTAAAAATTGCTATATCATTAACACAAACATTGCTCACACAGTTCTGATAAATTATTGAGTGTTCTATCTCGAGTGAGCACCCGCAATATTTAGAGAAGAGCCCGAAAGTAGGTTACATTATGCATATACATGTATTATCGAGTCAAGATATACTTTCTTATTACAGTACAGTGAGCCAACAGGATAGTTCTTTTCTGCAGCTACATATTTAAACATACATTATGCAAGAGCTAAATCTGCCTATTGCAGGTCATTCTTTAGGCCTGAAATGTTTTCTAAGTTATTAATTAGACTTTAGTTAACTTATCCAGGCCTTAATCAACTCTCGATGGCATCGGATTTCTCTGATATTAAATAGATTAGAACAGTTCAGCCATATTTTGATTTAAGCTAAAAATGGAGGAGCGAGACTTAGCTTCGAACAACCAGTGCGTTGGTTGAAATTATTACATACGTCTTGTCAAACCTCCAAAGGTTAATATCTTCGCTCGAAATAGAGTAATTTGAATGAAATTTACAAATTATTCATTTTACATTATCTATTTTCGAACTATTATAGCAAGAATCGCTAGCTCTTTATCTAAGAATAGTCTTTGTTTACCTTTGTCTTAAAATATTGAAACATAAATCATTATCAACAATTTGACATACTGACCTATAATACTATCTCGTTTCGTAATTTACAAATCAACAGTCTGGATATTTATAGGAACGTAGATCCAAAGATTTCGCCCATTTTCATATTCAGGACAACATGTTATAACGTGTACTATAGCGGAAATATGTATTTGATCTTATTCGAAAGTTAATACCAACTTCTGAACGGGTGGACGTGGGTTTTCGTCCCATATCCTACTTGACGCATTTTCTTGGTCAGTAAATTACTTGAACTCGCCTTCATACTCGGATACTTTATAATGATAAAATGAAATGAAATGAAATGGGGTTTAACGTCCTACTGTTCTGCTCCTAAACTGGGCTAATGAAGACGGGCATACGCCATACAGTGTGCTATGAGGGAAATTTTGCCCGGACAGTGGCGCTACGGCCTACTTTTATATCGAATTCCAACTGCCAAGGGATCTTTAACGTGCACGCCAATGTGTACACGGGACCTCGGTTTTTCTTCCCATCCGAACGACTAGACAGCTGTCCTTGTCAGGCCCTCCGTCCTGCATCACTGACAAGGGGAAACCACGCCGGAAAATCTGGATGAACTTTCTCGGCCAATGCAGGGATCGAACACCCGACCTCCAGGCTAGTGAGCCAGCGTCTTACCCACTTAGCCACGTGATCCCCAATGTAATCATAAAACTTCAGTTACTTTTTAATAATCGAATATAGATGATCTTGGGTTTCTTCACAGAAATGAAATTGGGTTTAACGTCCTACTGTTCTGCTCCGACTAGGCTAATGAAGACGGGCATACGCAATACAGTGTGCTCTGAGACCCCCTCTTATATCTAACTGCGAAGGGATCTTTTACGTGTACACGGGATCAGCTGGTAACATGGATGTTCAGAACATGTTGGCACTTGGTCTGCCCTAATACATTCTATCCCACCTTTTCGATCATAAAGTAACTTTTAGACATGACTACTAAATCATTTCGACCCACAAGCAACATTCGACATATTTCAAACAACTGGTGTGTTCCTAAAAATGAAGCTCACGAATATGTCCAAAAGAAAAACACAGGATTCACATGGATTACTATTCAAGCAATCGTACTCGTTCTTCAAATTAACCCAGGAAATAGTCTAGACCATCGGACTGTTTTTACAATACGCTGAACAGCGATGGGCTGAATGCGAACCACTCTCCTATAATAGAGACAGATAAGGTGACCTGAGATATTGACATTATTGCCAGGGCTAATCTAGGCCAATGTCCTCATTCGGTTTTCAAAATGCGACCGAGTTAGCCCCCCCCCCTCCCATGTTTACAATGTAATTACAGTTTGTTGATGGATGCATACTAAACAAAACATGCAGTGGTGGATTAAGGATAGTACCCTGGGACATAATCCATAATTTCCTCCATCTCACGAAACTCTCATTCAGAAAATTAGAGACTTCATTAGACTACTAAATACAACCTTAAAATGTTTTACAATATTCTCATACTTTTTGTTTGAATCATGAGACAGAAGGATGAAGATCAAAGTGGCACCCACGATAGCTGGCATTCTACATAACTGACTGCAAATGTAACCATTGATTTGAACAATTGTTATTCATTTCCTGGGATTAACTTTAGAAACCAGGTACTCCGTTTTGTGGTCATCTGTAGCACCATGAGTCGTTTGTCAGACGTGGGGAGCGGAGAATTCACTAAAACCGATCGCCACATCAGGCGTATAACCCATGCATCGTTTCTTATTACATATTTTGGAACAGCCCTTGATCTTCTAGCGTTGCCTCTGGTTGTATTTGTATTCTTTAACTGGTTAGGACGTATCTTTAAATGCCACTCTGACATTCCACATATGACAGCTTCACGTTGTGATTGAATATACTGCATCTTAAATGATATCATCAACAGGAACAACAAATGCCACATTTCGGTTCTACCTTTTATATTAAGCACTGCTACATATAGGTTATAGTTACAAGCGTTATAATAAAGTACATGTAATTCTCTCTACCCGCTCAAATGAGTCTGCTGATGGAAATTCCTACATCTTCTCCCTACGAGAACCACATGGCTGTCTGTCATAGCCCTCAAATCCAGTTTCTTGTGTATCCTAGATTTCCGCTACTAACTATTCAATTGGCCAAATATTACGTAATTAATTATAATGATTGGTCACTCATGCCAAATATGAAATGGTAACTTTCCTATCACCTGTTTTTATACACAGAATCTATCCTTGAATAGACCCCCTTTCCTGTTATTCTCACAATATTTCATAAACAATTTAATTTGCGTTTTAAATAAACTCATACCTCAACTATTATACTGACACGGGGGTGGGGGGTGGATGGCCGAATGGTTAGCACGTGAGCGCTGTATCATGAGGACTGTCATTGAGTCAACTGGCGTTGTTTCGAATCCCCAGTTGTACGTGACAAGGAGTAGGATTTCCTGCCCAACCTCGTGGGTTTTCTGGGTGACGTTCTGGAGTTTAGATTATTTACAATGGTAAGTCATACTTCAAATCAAATAAACTACGTATAATATATTATTTAGTCTTTTGTATATTCTGTGTTTCAGTCTTTAAAAGGATAGAGGACAGGTCCTAATAACAAGAAAGTGCACAAGGGACGGTATAGATTTTTCTGCTTGTACCATGAAACTATTGGTACCTTTTCCGTTGATAAATAATTCAATAAAATCCTAGAATTCTCCTTTATAGTCATATAAATGTGATATTTTATAACAATGGTTGTAGAACGAGACGGTAAGATCCTTCGGGTTTCTTCTAATATAGATTATCTTGGGTTTCTTCACAGCCAGATCAGTTGGTAAGTCGCTGAAAGCAACATGACTGTTCAGAACACGCGGTGATTAGGCCTGATCTAAAACATCCTGTGCCACCTTCTCAATAAAGAACTCAGTTTTAGAAATGACTTTTAGATCAGTTCGACCTGTCTGCAACATTCGACATATTTCAAACAACCAGTGTGTTCCTGTAAATACAGAAATGATTAAACTTGGGCACTACGATTATAAAGCAGACGATTACAATTTGAAACGGAACCTTTGTTTCCATACGAGTCTCCACCCTGCACCACCGATAAAGGGTAACCACCCGCCTCGAACATGGGACACCTAGAGAGCCATGTCCGATTAAATTCTGATACAACAATTTTTTTATAATCAATATTAAATTTGACATTAAATTGGATTGGGGAACAGGCCAGGTATATGGTGACCCATTGATCTACAAAGAACACATACAAAGCATCATTTATATAAGTTTTTTTTAGTATGAAACTAAATATTTGATTAAAACAAAAACAAACATTTATGTATATAAAACTTATGGAAGCCCATAACTACAGTTCGTAATTTCTATTTTAGAACGTGAAAATATAAATGTCGAAAAGTAGAAGTTACAACAAAATGTGAGGCGACAGCACGCAATACAAGCCAAAATCGATTCGAAAACAGGAAAATAAACACACCGCGATAATAGCGTCGCTCGTTTTGTCGTGCATTATGGCTTGTGTGACGTGACGACGACTTTTCAAAAGGTCGACAGCACGACAGCAAGCCAAAATCATAGGTCGCTAATTTCGCTATCAATACTAGACTTTATAACACAGGCCATTTTGTATAACGAAATACTATGCAAGCCAAAATGCATGTGTTTATTTCTTAATTTGTTATTTCGGATTGATTGTTGAGTTAGTTGTATTTTACGTCCGCTTCCACCGAGGTTTGAACGAGAAGTGACTTTAAATAGTCCTAAGCGTACCCTCGCCTCGTGTATAACACCAAGGATAAATTTGGCGAGATGACTTGATTTTGGTTGATTAGAACCATTTTGACAGTTTTAGAAAATTATGAAAAGTCTTAAAATATGTTGGTTATAATCTACTGAACGGTATCAGTGTGAGAATTCTTTTTAAACAAATGCATATATGCTGCTCAAGTTATCCAATAGTTTGTCCACGGACCCCCGGATGCTACTGTAAAATTAAGTAAGTCTTGTTGATTTAGATTTTTCTTTCTTTTAACAACAACAAAAAACAAAAAACAAAAAAAATAAAAAAACATTAGGTTCATCTGGTGTGCTGATTTACCGTGATCCAGATACAATTATGACTCAACAAGTTTGGCGATAAAATAAATATCCAAAAATTTGTTGATTTTAGTACATCAAAGTATGTGTCGTTAATTATTGGATACGGTCTATACGATTGATTTCCCCATCGTTAAATTAATGTTAATTATCGTCTATTTGATCGGTGCTAACTCTTCCCCAATGTTTATAAAAAACAAAACAAAGGACCTTGACAAAACATGAAGTTCAATAAATAAAAACAATTATTAACCCGATTGAGGGTAGGCAGAAATAATGACGTCATCTTCAAGTAGTTTTAACGATTTCATGTTGGTTATTACTTCAGGAGTAAATTTAGGATACAGTTTACCATTAAATTCAACCAATCTGATATGTTTGCCTGCACCATCGGGTATCTCGAAAACCGAAATCATGAACTAACTAAAACAAGGACATATTTTGGTGTTGCATGTATTTTTATAGTAAAAAAACCCCGCACCATTGACCAATGTTCGGAGATTGAAAATGAAGGATTAGCGAACATGTAACGTGGTCTTTTTTCTGTCTCGACCATGACACACACCACTTCTATAATGAAACATAATAAGTGCTTTATCTCTCGTGCTTTTACCCGCCCTTTCACAGCAACATGATGAATATAAAGATGTGGGACAGAAGTTCAAGTATCCCCCGTTTGTAATCACATGATTACACCTCGAAATGATTCTAATACACGTTTGATATGGAGCGCCATTGCTGCATAATAATTATCTGGTGGTCTTGTTATTATGTGGCCACTTTAATATGTCGAATTTTTATTATGTTATCTTTTTATTATTCAGTGATTTTATTGTGTTCATCTGGATGATTCGGAATGCAATGACGCCTCTAATTTTAAGGATCCGATCAATTCATAATTATGGACTTCTATATCACGTAACTGGGGCCACACACAAAAGAGTCATCTGCTGGATTCGGTGATCACTAGAACCTCGGATCAGTGCCTGATGAACCTCATGACCCCAGTGTTTCTCACCAAACAATCTGTTAACAAGCGGTTGCCATGCAAGATACGCCTACGTTTGGCAAGAGAAGAAGGCTATTATAGTCTTACTTTTTCAGCTTCGTCAGAATCGGATAAAATTTTTGACGTCAAGAGGGTCCCATAGCCCTTCTAGTGTGCTTCGCCTTCAGTGCACCACAAGTCTTATGCGGGACCTGTTTGATCCGTGACCAACCTAGACTGTCCCACTATATTCATGCGTGGCATTGCGTGACCCATGGCATAGCCACCTAGAGTGTCCGCTATTTCCATGCGTGACCTAGATTCCCCACCAATGACCCACTTAACAATTTTTATGTGTGGCCTAGGGTTTTGTCAGTAATTAGTGTTGTTTTTTCGGTATTAATGTCAAAAAAAGTTTTTCGGTGTGTTTTTGGTATTTGTCGGATTTTTCGAATTTTTTCGGTATTTAGTACAGCCCAAATATTCATTCTTTTTTCATTAACAAATAGTTCAATCATAAGGTTGATTGTAGAAATGACTTCCAAATCAGTTCGACCCGCTGCAGAAATATTCGATATATTTCAAACAACCAGTGTGTTTCTGTAAATTCAGAAATTGGGGACTGCGATTATAGAGCAAAGGATACATTATGAAAGGAAATGACATTTGTTCAATATATTTTGCTTTTATTTCGGTTTGCTAGGAGATCTTGAACGTAGTATAAATGGTATACACAGGACCTTGGTTTTTGTACAATCCGAACGACTAGAGTCCTGCGCCACTGACAAAGGGAAACTAGGCTGGAAAATCCTGGGAAACTTTCCCAGCTACAATCCGACTCGAACAAGGGACACCGTGCTTAGTGAGCCAGTCCCGATTAATTTCTGACCCATTGATACACAAGGAACACATACATGCAAAGCATAATTTATATACTGTTCAAATTTCAACTTTGTTTTATATAAAACTAAATACATTGTATTTAATACTAAAACAAGAACATTTATACATATTTATGTTCACCGTGTCGTCATTTATTATCAAGATAATTTTTCTTATGTGTCCTAGAAGTGGTAAGCATATCAACATCACGCATAGATAAATGGCGGTATGGGTTAAACATTGATTTTAAATGTTTAGATGAACCATTTTGACTTTTTTGACAAAATTATGAACAGTCTTGAAATATGTTGGTTCTAATCTATTGAACTGGGGCAATGTGACCCATTTCTTGAAACTGCTACTCAAGTAATTCAATAGTTTGTCCAAGGACACAAGAATGACACAGCAATAATGACTAAGTCTAGTTGATTTATAGGCGATAACAGAAATAGCCAAGGCATGTTGATTTAGGTACAAAAAGTGTTAGTGTTTATGGGACATGTTCTAACGATTAAAGATGCATTATGTAAGAGCTAAATCTGCCTATTGCAGATCTGTCTTCAAATAATTATTAGATAAAGTATTATCTGGACATTTATTTACATGACACGCAACCAGCCTCTTAACTACCATCCCTCCGCCTCGAATTCTTGAATATAGACTAAAACCTTGTAGAAAATGTACACCCAGGCCCTTTTCTTCGATTCTGCACCAAAAAGTCAACAAAAATCGCCTTGCAAAAGTGGAAAAAAACAGACTAAAATATAGGCCATGAAGAAAAACTGTAGGAATTTAATGATGTCCTGTGTCAATATGGAATGGTGGCCACGCCAGTTGACCCTATGATAGTCCTAATGATGCACCACGCACGCGCTAACCATTCAGCCATTACCCCCCCCCCCCAAGAAATACGTGTGTTATTTATAAAAGTTTTACATTATAGAGTATTCAGTGATACACATCAACTTGGCGTGGTGAAATTTGAGTTTAAGCAAGACAACCTATGGCCGTTGTCTTATCGTAAATATAATTTATATCATATTTTCAGATAAACAGTATGCTGTGGACCATCTGAGGATACAATATATCGAATACGTAAATCTCATTTGTTTTACAAAAATTATTTTGCACAGCCAAGGGCCTTTTAGAAATCAGTAAAACACACATATGAACTTTGTTTTTATTCTTGTTTTTGTTTTCAAAAACAAAAACATTGTCCGATCCTCTGATCTATTCTAACGCTTCTTTGTAATTGGTCAAGGAAGTTATTTGAATCTAAATACAAAACAATGCGATTATGAGAGACCTTTAAAAAGCTTCAAATCCAGCAATCAAATTATTGTTTAGCTGCAATTAAAATATCGCTTGTGAATATCGTTTTTATTGGTTTATTTCGCATCTTCGTCTAAAGAATATCTGAATTTTAATTTTGATCCAGACATTCTCTCACGATAGACTCGGTCAAACCATTCACTTTGTGCCACGGTAAACCAGTTTTTCCAGTCGCCAACTTCACCTGCAACAGGGAAGAATATAACACATGACACAATTATATGGAATACAAGTTAGTTGAATGATTTTTTTCTGGCGAGTGTTCGACGAGGGTTCTCACGTCTTCATCATCAAGCAAGGAATGACAACCACAGTACAGTAAAGATGTATATACAAAATATGTAACAAAGAAAAACATTAATCTACAAATAGAGATAATCATTTGGAAACCATCAAAGGGGGGGGGGGGCATAGGTTTGGTGAGTAATAAATGGAAGAACATTTCTAAGAAATATCAAAATCCTAGCAAAATGGGTGGGGGGGGGGGAGCTGGATGTCCGAATGGTTAGCACGTGCGCGCTGTATCATAAGGCCTGTCCAACCTCGTGGGTTTTCTCCGGGTCCTCCGGTTTCCTCCCTCTGCTAAAGACTGCTAAAATACTAATTTAATTGCCTTAGATATCCATGAAAGTGTTTTATGCCCATGTAAAGTGGTTGTGTGTTGTAGTCAATGACGTTGATCGAAAATCATTTGGCACATACCAATGAGCGTATTCTGTAATTGGGGATCACGTGGCTAAGTGGGTAAGACGCTAGCTCGCTAGCCTGGAGGTCGGGTGTTCGATCCCTGCATTGGCCGAGAAAGTTCATCCAGATTTTCCGGCGTGGTTCTCCCTTGTCAGTGATGCAGGACGGAGGGGCTGACAAGGAAAGCTGTCTAGTCGTTCGGATGGGACGAAAAACCGAGGTCCCTTGTACACATTGGTGTGCACGTAAAAGATCCCTTGGCAGTTGGAATTCGATATAAGAGTAGGCCGTAGTGCTGCTGTCCGGGCAAAATTTCCCTCATAGCACACTGTATGGCGTATGCCCGTCTTCATTAGCCCAGGTTAGGAGCAGAACAGTAGGACGTTAAACCCCATTTCATTTCATTTCATTTCGTATTCTGTAATTATTAATATTCTGTAATATATTTGGTAAACCCCATTTCTCTCTTTTTCAGCAAAATGAACGGCTGCGAAAGCTACCACCCCAGATAACGTTGCGTAACACAAATATATCTTCCCACTCTTCATGTATAAAATGTACAATAAGCTTGAGATAAGAAGATTTTAAAATAAAACTGAGCGTAGTAAGGTTACCTACCCTTTCTATATATTTTAGATTTTCCATTCTCATCAGCAACTACATGAGACATTCTTGTCTGCATTTTAGAGAAGGAACACGCATCACTTATTCCTTGAATTAATTCCTCATTTCTTTTAACTTGTAAAAAATCTGATATTTTTCTGATTTCTGCTATTGGATCCTGCAATTATAAATATTTTGTTATTTACCGACATCAATCAGCGGTTGCCAGGCAAGATACGCCTACATTTTATAAGAGATGGAAAGAGAACAAGCTAAAAAAGGCGATTTTTCGTACAATCAGGGGCCATATTCCAGGAAGGTATGGTCTAGAATGCGCGAATATCGCTATGGACTGAGATATTTCGGATATAAAGATATATTTTAAGTTTCATCAAAATAGGATAAAAATTGTGACTTCTAGAGGGTCCACAACCTTGGTATTACGAGGGGTGGCCATTTTGTTGGGCAGTTGCATACGAGGGCTGCAATTTTGTCCGGTCCGATTTTCACGAAATTCGAACTTAACCAGCATTACGGTATAACGGTGATATATTTTAACGTTTTTTTTACATCGGATAAAAACGCGATTTATCGTACAATCAGGGACCATAATTCAGGAAGTTACGATCCCATATGCGCAAATATCGAAAGGAGCCAAGGTCTTTGGTTTATAAACATGCATTCCCAGTTTCATCAAAATCAGATGAAAAGTGTGACCTCCAGAGTGTCCACAAGCAAAAAAAAATTAGTTTTCCTGCAATTAGGGGCCACAATTCATGAAGTTTCGATCCGATACATGCCAGTACCGACAGGATCCGAGATCTGTTAGAGATAAACCTATATTTCAAGTTTTGTCAAAGTCGGATAAGAATGGTGACCTGTAGAGTGTCCACAAACAAATTGTGGACGGACGTCCGGGCGGACAGGGGCGACGACAATGTACGTCCACTTGAAAATGTGGACGTATAAAACAATGTTGGTGTATTTATATACGCCTGGGTCTTTAAATTTAAATTCGCATAGAACTTATTAGAACTTTACAC